AGTAGTGCGATCTCAGCTCACCACAACCTCTGCCTCCCGGGTTCAAGTGATTCTCCTGCCTCAGCCTCCTGAGTAGCTGGGATTACAGGCACCCGCCATCATGCCTGACTAATTTTTGTATTTTTAAAGAGACAGGGTTTCACCATGTTGGTCAGGCTGGTCTTGAAGTACTGACCTCAGGTGATGTGCCTGGCCTGGTTGACCTTTTTAAGGTCTCTTTAAACAGAGATTTATTTGACTGGTGAACCTTTCCCTCTAAAATGGAAAAACCTTTGTTTCTTTTCTTACCCCAAGGGCAATTGTTAAAGGGTTGAACCTAATCAGTGACTGTTTGAAAATAAAACTTTAAATTTATGTATTCTCTGTTCAGTTTCCTTATGGTCTTTGATGCAAATATATCTCCTACCTCTATGGATCTTTTATCCTAACTATGATAGGTTATTCACGCTAAGTATTGTGATTTCTTTTTTCCTTCAGAGATTTACCGCATTGTTTCTCAGAAGCAAATGTCAGACAGACGCGAAAATGACATGTCTCCAAGCAACAATGTGGTTCCTATTCATGTTCCACCAACCACTGAAAACAAGCCAAAGGTGCAGTGCTGTCAGAACATCTAAGGCATTTCTCTTCTCCCCTAGAAGGCTGTGTATAGTCCATTTCCCAGGTCTGAGATTTAAATATATTTGTAATTCTTGTGTCACTTTTGTGTTTTATTACTTCATACTTATGAATTTTTCCATGTCCTAAGTCTTTTGATTTTAGCTTTATAAAATCATCTACTTGTCCCGAATGACTGCAGCTTTTTTTCATGCTATGGCTTCAGTAGCCTTAGTTTAATAAACTGAATGTTTGGATTCCTCAATTATTGTTTACTTTTTATCATGGAAGCCTGTCACTGTACGTAGGACATAATAGAACTTGATCACTTGAAGCTCAGGCCTATTGGTCTTGATCAAATCAAACTAAGACGACCTTAGAAATAAGCTACCATTTTGCCACAGAGCAGCTTATCGGTAATACACTCTTCTTTCAATGCAGTGTATATTTCCACAAATATAAGAATTGCCCTATAAACATAGCAGGATTTTGAGAGCTTGAAAATTTTCCATTATCTGGACATGAATTTCTAAAATGCCTTAATAGGTTTATGTAGTTGAGTAAATTTTGTTTTTTAATTTTTGTAAGCATCAAAGTTGATTAGAGAGGGGGGGCACTTTTTCTGGAGAATTCTCTTAGTAAACACAAGAGATTGTTACGGTTTCATTAGTAGTATGGTTATGGGGCCGTAAGTTAAACAGTGCTGCCTGGCAGGCTGGGAACTGGAGGGACTTGTGGAATTCCATCTCAGGTGCCTCTGTTGCAATGATCAGGCAGCCCAAAAGATTTAAATGATCTATAATAATTTCCAAGCAGTAGATGATGTGGCCTTTTATTGCTCAGGCAATAACTGGTTTAATGCTGGTAGTGTCAAATTTTGAAGTGTTAATTTTGTCTTAAAACCTTCCAGTAAGTGAAATGCAACCTAGTTTTATCACCATATCCACCAGCAGGCATGGATAATTATTTTAACAATGCTAATATTTGAGTTTTGCAGTATATTATGGAATATAGTCCAGTTAAATCTTTGGTTTCAGTATGTCTGAAGAATACAGTGAGAGGTTAATTTTTGCTCAAGTGGTACCACTTAAAGGCATGTATTCTTTTAGTATGTAAAATGAAATAGTACCTTGAGTTTAAATAGAATGCATTTTAGGCATTGTAGAGACCTGAAATAGTACATTGTTGAAATCCATGAAGCAATTAGTTTCTCATTCAGAAATGTGCACACTAATATTTAGTTTTGCTTTCTCGTGGATAATATTAAGCACTTACTCTGCAGTTTCCTGGAAGTGGTGTGTCAACTGCAGTGATACTATTCAGGATGGTGGGAAATCCCCCGAAATATGTATGTGTGGGCTTGCTTAGATTACTATATTTCATAGTTAATCTTTTGTCTCTTGCAGTGCTCATGATGTGTGGGGCACACGGAAGGCATTGCTGTAGTCAGTCATTTTGGTTTTCTTCTATAGCCATTTTATTATTTTAGTGTATTGGTTATGAAGATAATATTATCTGTTTGTAAATTGCTACTTTGTATTTTATGCATGCTCTGTAATTTGATTTTTTTTTTTTTTTAGTTATTGATTTGGAATATATTCACATTCTAATAAACAGTTATAGGGGGATTATTTCTTATGTTGTCAGATTACATTTTTCCTTTGAGTGCTTTGGATGCAGCCATGGAATCCTGATGTAAAAGCATAGGTTCTTGCATTACTGAGTAAACATTGAATTGGGAGCATCAGTATGTGAATTCAGCTTTGATTTTAGACCTGCAGTTCAATTATGTTTTTCTTGGAAAAAGTATGTCCAAAAACATTAGGAAAGTAGTGTGTACTTTCATATATAACAGAGTCACCAGACCCAGGAAAAGAATCCATCTCTATTTTATTGAAAGTTGGTGGTAAATTTTTTACAAAGTAAGGAGAAAGGAGAAAAACTAAATAGTGAATTGAAAATGAATAAAGTAACTTAGAATTTTTACCCAAGTGTAGACCTAAATGTTGCTTTGGGTATGGTTGGATCTTGGGAGAATTCCAGGAAATATTAGATATTAGAAAATGACTTCAATTGCATTTCAACAGGTGTCTTTGTTCTGAGTAATATCTAAGGAGACAAACTGTCTCAAGCAAGAAACAATACATTTTTAAATATTTTGACAATTCAGGGCTTACGGCAGTTTAGAAGTATTTTGCTACTTGACCTTGATTTTCAGTTATTTTAACTTTGAATTTAAAAAAAATTTTTATTTATTTATTTTTTTTGAGATGGAGTCTTGCTCTGTCGCCCAGGCTGGAGTGCAGTGGTGCGATCTCCGCTCACTGCAAGCTTCACCTCCCCTCCCGGGTTCATCCCATTCTGCGTCAGCCTCCTGAGTAGCTGGGACTACAGGCGCCCGCCATCACGCCCGGCTAATTTTTTGTATTTTTAGTAGAGACGGGGTTTCACCATGTTAGCCAGGATGGTCTCAATCTCCTGACCTCGTGATCTGCCCGCCTCGGCCTCCCAAATTGCTGGGATTAAAGGCGTGAGCCACCGTGCCCAGCCTTGAATTATTTTTTTTAACCTGTTATATAGTCTCCTGAATAGTTAGTTAGCCGTGGTGCCTTGATTTAATCTTACGTCATTGTTCTCAAATGCCATGATTTCTTTTTAATAGTAGTTGTCATTATGTAAGGGTAAGTTATTGCCCATTGCATTGACTATGTTAAATTGTAATTATAAGAAGAGGTGCCAGCTAGTGACCTTACATCAGTGATCTTTTAAGTTCTGAAGGGTTCTGCAGAAAAGTTAGACTTCTTGAGTTTGGGTTGCCCATCAGAGCTGGTCACATTTCTTTGATCATTGAGAAAATGAATATCTTAATTTTTGTCTTTGCTGACTTGTATTTATAAAATACAAATGCTTTTAGTGGGCTTGAGCTATTGTTATAATCTCTTCCATCTACCTTAGAGAAGAAGCTGTACTACTTAGTTTTGGCCCACACCGAAAGCAAAATAATTCAAAGGCTGGGTGGATAATTAAGAACTTATTCTAACCTGTTAGGTTTCAGTTTAGGGGGCTTGCTTTGTTTGTTTTAACAGAGGAAAAAAATATAAATTGATTTTCTGATGTCTCACAAATATCACAAACCTGGAAAACAACAAAAAATGAATTTTGTAAAAGGTTATGTATGACTTCCATTTGCTCTATAAAAAAATGAACAAAGATTGTGAAAGGATCCTCTTCCACCACATCATTTAATAGGTTAGCAGAACAGATAGGGAGCCATGACACTAGCGCCAAAGAGAGATTTTTCTTCTGGTTGAGTGGTGCTGGTGCCACGCCCCTTTCTGGGATTTGACAGGTCTTTCCCACTCACCTATACAATGTGCCAAGTAAACTGGAGTTGTCATTCTAATGTTTTAAAGAATGATTGGTTCCCCCCAAACTGTAGGAGGTTGATGGTAACAATAAAGTGATACAAAATGTTAATGTCATTATAACTTATGTAAGGGAGACCATTAGGCTGAGAATCAATATGATTGAGGTTATCTATTCTCCTGAAAAGTGAATTGGAGAATAAAGAAAGAATATTTGAACGGATGTTGTGTACTAGGCAATATACTAGCATATATTAGAAAATATGGTAAACTGTGGGTTAAAAGAGTGAAAGTAGCTGGTATGATAGAGCACTGTACTGAGTAACGAAGAGTTTGTAGTCATGGCTCTTGTGGTCATTTCATTTTTGAGCCTCACATTCTTCCAATTAATGAGAGTACCAGATTAGATAAATTCTGGGGATTCATCCCAACTCTAACTCTGTAATTCTCTGAATGAACTCTCTCTTCTATTAAAGCCAAATTATTAACATTCTAACTCAAATTTAAATTTAATAGAGAAGTCAAAATGAGGTATACACTTTGTGGAATGTTTTTGGTCTTATCACAATAACCTGATTAAAATGGTACCTTTATTTCCATGTTTACTCCTTTAAATAGGATGAAAGCTTTCAGAACATTTATTTGCAAAATGACTGTCAATATCAATAATATGCATCAAAGTACCATATATGCTAAGGGGGAGGAGCACTTGATGGGCTGCTATATTAATTGTAAATTGAGAACTGCTTGTTTTATGGCTTTTGCTGTTAAAAAAAAAAACTGCTGGCTTTTAATATATACTTTAAAATATACTCATGTCTGGGAGAGAACTTTTAAAAACATTTTGTGTTTAATTTTTAAAAAATTATTTCTTTAATGGGAATCTACAAGAAGGTAGATCAATCCACAGGCTAGCTATCCAGTAGAACCAGTGATTAAATCTAGGTGTACAGGTTTATGTGTGCATGTACATGACATACATGGTATTTTGGGGTTGTTGATATGGTGATCTAATTAATAGTCAAAACATTATTTGAATTCAAGTCTTTGACATTTATTAATTATAGGATAGTTTCTGACACAGGTGTGAGCACAAAATGTTATGTATGTTGGCTAACTGCTATGTTACCAGTACCAGTGATGGTCGTGAGAATTAGCAGCCAACAGGATTCCTTTACTGTGTTTGAGTCAGTGGAACTTAACCTTGCTCCAAACCACAAAATCTCAGATCTTTTTAACTCTCATCCCAATGAATAATGTACACAATAATAATGTGTTTTTAGCACCTATCCCCCTGTTGACAACCTCTAATCTCTCAGCATACCGTTTTCTAAGGTATCTCTAGGGAAGAGGGTACCGTTCCTTGTCATATCTTTTAAGAAGTTGCTGACCATTGTACTAGCCTCTGTGCCAAAGTGTTTCATCATATGGGCCGAAGAATACCGTAGAAGATCATGCCTGAGATGGGACAGTCTGGGAAGCCCCAAGAAGCAACACTTTCCATAGGCTGTCTTTGATGTGAAACCAATTCTGGAGGAGGCAGTTGGGGTCCTCATTTACTAGTTTTGATTTACATTAGAGTGGATGCCTAAATAACAGTACCGTACTTTGTACAGTCCCCATGCTTTCAGACCCAAGGATCTGGAAGGCCATCTGCTAGACTGGACAGTGGCTTGGGAAGCAGAAGGTGGAATGAGGAGGGAATCTGACAACTGAAGCTAAAGAGCAGAGCTTCCACTTTCTGTGGGTTTGGATTAGAGCATTGTTTATTCTTTCTAGCTCTGTAAGCCCAGGGAAGAAAATACATAATCAGCACCCCACTGATCACCAGGGCTCTCCATTTATCTCTCTCCTTTGGTAGTCACTACATTGTAAGAGCCACAAGGGCAGGGAACATGCTTTTTTCATACAGGTTGAACATCCCTAATCCAAAAATTCAAAATGCTTTAAAATTGAAAACGTGAGCACTCACATGATGTCACAGTTGGAAAATTTCACACCTGACCTTGTGACAGGTCACAGTCAAAACGCAGGCACGCCACACACAGTTTATTCAGTGTTCCCGCATAGGTGTACAGTAACCTTTCAATCAAAACAGCATCGTAGGTGGAGACTGAAAGCCAGCTGGTGGTGGTGGTGGTTTAACTGCTGGTACAGACACTCTGGTGATGCTACTGTGCTGCTTAGTTACCCTGAACACATTCTTTTTCCCGGTATTAATGATTGATGATCATATTTTGTAAATACTAGTGTGAATGTGTGAATAAGTGTAAGAAAATGAATTACTTATTGGTAGTATAGAAATTCACAGTCAGGAATGATGGTGTTGCAAACCACCACAGATTGTCCACATGGGTGGCTGAGACAGTGACACCTTTGCTTTCTGATGGTTCAATACACACAAACTTTATTTCATGCACAAAATTATTAAAAATATTGTATAAAATTACCTTTAGGCTATGTGTACAAGGTGAATATGAAGTGTAAAATGAATTGCATGTTTAAACTTGGGTCCCATCCCAAAGATAGCTCATTATGTATATGCAGATATTCCAAAATTTGAAAAAATCCCAAATTTGAAACACTTCTGGTCCCAAGCATTTTGGATAGGGGATACTCAACCTGTATTTACATTCATAGTATCTATCTCCCCCTCCCCTTGACAATTCCATGTCAGGACAATTAGGGAGGGCCATCTAAAAGAGTGAGAGGGCTAATCTTAGGGTTCATTCTGGTGTAGCTTGGGGAGCTGAGAATTACTATTCAAATTTTAAAGTTTTTATTAAAATTATACAGAATTATATATTACAATTATATAAATATATACTTATATATAATTATACGAAAGTATAAAAGTACAGTGAACCCCCCATGTATTCATCCCTTCATAGAAAGATTTTCCATTTCCTGTTGCTGCATATTGATTAAATGGGCCTCTTCTTTCTTCCCTCTGGTTAAATGAATGGCTAATGTGTCATTCCTGAGTGCACAACTTGCAGCAATTGGCCATTAGTTATCATTCGTAGTACTGAGTAATATTCTGAGACTTGTGGTGCATAATCTTATACTACTGTCAGTAAATATCTTTTTTAGTCTTAAAACTCTTGATTATATTTTGTCTTTAACTGAGATGTCAACTCATAGCTCTTGAGAATTACCTATTAGTAATCTCTTATGAATGGGTCTTCAGAATATGAGGGTTATATACATATGAGGATTATATACAAACCTTTGGAACTATGAAGGAGGAATTTTAAACTTATTTGAATGAACTCAGTAAGCTATATTTTAGCATCTGTATTTTATTAAAAAGTAACCCTGTTGCTGCTTTACCAGTTTGATCACAAGTTTATGTCTTTAAAGTTTGTAAAACAGATATACCCATAGTAACTCTACTGGATGATAACTTCTACTCGTGGAAAGCTGTTCATTGCATTTATAGAAATTAAGTGGCCCTTACACTGGCCCTTATTCATTCCATATAAGTACCTTTGTGCCTCTGGGGCTGAGCACAAACTGTAATAGTTGTCTTTGAGTCCAAATATTTGTGAAAGCTGAGAAACCCTCTAATTTTAGTATACTGAATGTATATGAGATTTTTAAATAACTTTTGAACATGAATAAAAATATGGTGCTCACATTTTTTATTTTAAAGAAAGAGACTTCTCTGTCAAAAATTCCATACAAGTTTTTCACTTATTTTCAAGCATCTACTAGAATAATTTTCGTTCTTCCAGCTGTTTAAAGTGCCCAAGCAGGATGTAGGTTAGTTCTACCCTTAAACTTAAGGTGTAGATTATAAACGTGTTTTCCATTTGCAGCACAACAGTATGCATTCTTGTTAAATTAGTTTGAGAAATTTGTTTTATTTTGTACAAGGTACAATCCCTCTGCACAGTGAATATATATATTACAAATCTGTGATTTAAAAAAGTATTGCCATTTCACAGTCTCATTAATACTACTGTACAATAATGGTTTTTCTTTCATTCATTTTAATTGTACACATATTTGTCTGAAAATTTAGTTTCTGAAAAATAATTGAGATCTTTCAAAGTCGCCCATAAAATGCACAGTGCACATGTTTAGGCTGACCATGAACCTATTTGTGATGGTGTTAGAAGTTTCTAACAGTTGCTTTGTAAGATTGAAATGTCTTTTACTGATAACTCTTCGATAGGTGAAGGCAGTTATTGTCACCATAATCACACCTTCTGCCTTTCCCTTCTCTGTATTGCCTGGTTTGACTTGTATTATATTTCCTTAAAAAGTCATGGAATGCTAGACCTGAAGGGTTATTAGAGCTGTCTTCCCACTCTCTGTTTCTCCCCTTTTTTATGCATAGAAAAAAAAGGAGCCCAGAGAGGGCAACTAACTTGACCAGAGTAACACTGAAGTCTCTTGATTCAGTGCCTAGCCTTTCCACCTGTTGCTGAATACCTTTGCCCAGAGGATAGTTGACAAAAGAGGCGAAACTTGAAACTTGAGTGATGCTGCTTGTTTGTAGTTTGCCAGGCAGCAGTTATTATACATGCAGGATAAGGGAAGAAGAGAAAACCTGGGATTGAGTTGAAGTTTCTCCTTGCTGATCTGACATCTTCATGCTTCTTCATCTTTGCTTCACAAACACTTGCTGCCCTGAAATACTGAGGTAAGCCGCTTACTTATATTTCTTTCTACATATGTATGAGAAGTATTTACTTGGGTCTACAAAGTAATTTTCTAATATTTATATTTTAATAAGGCTTTTTTGGAAAGTAAATTTACTATTGCTAATCAGTTGTTCCCATGCACACATGCAGCATTCATGTAAGTATTATATATTTTCCTCTAACAGTAAAATTTGCTTATGCCTTGAGTGACGTGGGAAGGGGAGATGTACTCATTTATTTATTTTTTTGCTTTTTCTGATTATTGCCCAAAGTATTGTGTTCCATGGCAGGCTTCCAATTTCTATCAAGGGTTTCAGAACTCTCATACTTGCTGTAGCAGTATTCCAGCTTTGTAATCATTTAGTTCCTCTTCTGTATATCTTTTTGGAAGTGTTTTTTACTGGCTGGACTGTACCAGTGAATAGAGTGGTACAGGAGTAGCCATTAGCTTCCTAGGTTTGCCCTTTTTGTTTTTAATTCTTGTGAGAAGGTTCTCTTTAGGGCTTGGGATTTGACTTCATTTGGACTCATCTGAGCCTCAGTTTATCTATGTTCATAGTGGAAGGTACAGACACATATGAATACTGGGATCTGGAGCATTAGCTCATTGTAATGCATATTGGGCTAGCTCAGTAAGTAGTAGTTTTAAGATAGAAGGTGGAAGGACTTCATATCCCCTGCTGTTTACAGTAACTTTTTACATCACGTTATAGCAACTGGTTACAGTTCATTCTTTTTTTGATCATTTCATTTAGTTCCATCAAAAAGCGTAATGTACTTTAAGCAATGTAAATTTCCTATATCCACATTTGTCCAATTTCCTGTATACTTTTAGGTTTCATACTACATCAATCCTAAGATTTATGAGGAACTACTTGGAAGCAAGTATTCCTTTGAGTCAAGGGATGCTGACCAAATAAAATGAGGAGGCCAACTAGCCGTCTTTAGGGATACTTAATCCCAACCAGTCTGTGACTGCTTACTTAAAGGATCATCTTAGAGCTCTGTTTTACATGGAATGATTCAGGTGTTGAATGGACTAAGTAGGTATGACATAGCCAGCACTGACTTGTAATGTCCTTAAACTTTGAATTGGCAAAATTTGATAAAGCTGCCCTAGGAATCTTGTTGCAGACTTGTTGCTGCACTTTGGATACGTGTGTGTGTGTGTGTATGTGTGTCTATGTGTCTGTGTGTCTGTGTGTGTATTTAAACCTATCGGGGCAGAAGAAAGTAAAGTCTTGTTTTTTTAAAATGGAAGTTGTCAGCATAAGACTATATACTAGATTCTGTAATCTTGGCTGTTGTAATTTGATGGACCAGACACATATGTACAGATATTTTAAGACTGTTCTATTTAAGAACAGTTCATGTCTATGTACTAATTGTCTTCAGTAATAAAACAGATGTTGATGATAACAGCAACCAAAAGTACATATACGTTTTAGGTGCTTTAAAGTAATCCTCTTCCTTCCCCAGTCTCCTTTTTGTCCTAGGAAGGTTTGTTAAACCTACATGTTTTTAAAATATCACGTTTCAGATAAATATATATGTATCAGCTATATTTAGCTGATGTTGATGAGTTGTTATATCTTAAAATGTTTTAAAAATCATATCCAGGGCATTTGGGGCTGAGTGGGTGATAGGATTTGCCTTTGAGAACACAATTCCTTGAACAATTATCCCAGTCCCACCTGGACGCTCTTCTTTAGTTCCAGGTGAACGTAATAACTAACATGCAGCTGGAGCCAGTCTGTACCATTACTTCAAGTCAAGGGATTGTCTTCTTTCAGAGAGTCAGAATATTCAGTAGAGCACACTGCAAGAGAGAAGCTTATCCCTCTTAAGATTGCTTGTCCTGGGATGGCCCATTGGCAGGGCTCTGTCTTACTGGGAGGAGGTCATAATGACCAGGAATATGGCTGTTCCTAGGTAGGTCGTATGGATTCTGGATATAGCTGGAGTTATGACCGCGACCTTCTTGGACCACACTGACTGTGGGCTCTAAGAAATATAGTGAAAAATGAGTTCAGAGAACAGATTAGCTTTGGTTGCCTTGTTGGAGAGGAAGAGAGTTCTGCTTAACTTGGGGAAAGGAGCTAGGGATTTATAAATCTATGACAAATACATGAGGCTTAGGATTCAGGCTTGCTCAGGAGATGGAAAACTAAGTGAATGTGCTGTCAAAATCCAAGCCTCTCGTCAACACAAAAGGATTTAAAATATCCTAGAGGTAGGAGTCTTATCAGTGAGCCCAGGGACATAAACTGGGAGAAGGCAGAAGGTGATTTAGAAACTTGTCAATGTCTCTGATTGCTTTCTTTTTTAAAATGAGATTTGTATCAACAATCAGTTGAAGTGTGTGTGTGTGTGTGTGTGTGTGTGTGTGTGTGTGTGCGCGCGCGCGCGCGCACGCACCCACTTTCCACCCCCGGTATTTGTTTCGTATTAGTCCTAGTGTTTTTTAAAGCAGAGTTGGTACAATAATTTGTACCAACTAATAATTTTGTTGGTATATAATAATTTGTACCAACTTAATAATTCCTGCATTAGTGAGGGAGGGCAGTCCTAGGAAAGACAGTTCACCTTAGAGATGCCTTAAAAAACAACAAAAGAAGGATGTGTGGTCAAGATGGGGTGAGTGGAGAGGGCTTGCTTTTACTTCAAATGCTGCATTATTGCCCTGACTTCACTAAGTTACTTATTTGAGACACCTACCAACTTCATATATATTTTTATTAGATGTCGACAAGGATGGCACATCTGTGTACGGAGACCCCATGTGCACAGGCGACTTCATTTCTACATAGCTGCTTTCTGGAAGCTTGCAGGTGAGGATGGGTGGGTCCTTAATTGTGGCGTAAGGGTTTTCACTGCTATTCAAGGAACAAGTACTAGAACTGCACACGGATTCTTTCATGTAATCTGCAAGGCAAGAGAGAGTTCTTAGGACAAACAAGAATACAAGTCTTCATGTTAATATCAGAAGCAGACTGTAGTTGAGTTTATGTGCCTTCAGGATCCTAGGGCTGGAAAAGCCAGGATAATCCCAGATTGATTTACTTATTAAATGTGTTGAGAAGTGCTCTCCCAGGTAGGCAGAGTTCTTTTTCCAAAGAAACTTATGTTTTTGGAGGACAGGAACATTTTTGTTTTTAGTAGTCAGGTATTAATTCAAGATATGCATAATATGCTTTGACATGTATTAATTTTTGTAAATTCTTGCAAGGATTGCTGATAGTTGCATTTTATGAGATGAAGCCTCAGAGATATGAAGTGACTTAGCTAAAGTCACACAGCTAGTAAATGTCAGTGCCAAGACTTGAATCCATGCCTTTGGACTCCTTGGCCTGTGCATTCTGTGATGATATTCTTGTGAATTCTTCTTTTTTGAGATGTTGCCTAGGCTGGTCTCAAACTCCTGCCCTTAAGTGATTCTTCCGCCTCAGCCTCCTGAGTAGCTGGTATTATCAGTATGTGCCACCACACCTGGCTTGAATTGTTTTCGATGACTGAGAAGCTTAGGTTCAGAAGAAGTAGGCGTGCATGTTTTAGCACAGATGTCAGCAATTTGACAGCCTATAAGTGGCAGACTCTTAGCAGTATCCCTGCCCTCCAGGAGCTCATGATCAGAATAGGGTAGACTGAAGTGTAATTGAGGTGTAAAAAGCACGTCAGTCTTAAGCTAGCCTTTGGAAAGTTCCTGTTTTCTAGCAAGCCTATAACGTGTTCTTGGGTTGTTTATCCTGTTCTTGTCAATGCTAACTGAAACCCATTTCAGCAGCATCTTTCTGATACTAGAGCTCATGCTTCCTCTCCTGCCACCTCTCAGTTGTATAGTTGTACCATCCCCAAGACTTCAGAGTACAAAAGGATGCAGGCTGGTTTCCAAATATGAAATGTAGCTTCACTGGAGGAAGAAAGGTTCTTTAGTGACTAGGAGCCACGGAAGGAAAGGGGATTCCCTCTTTCAGCCTCTATACCATTCTCCTGCACATAGTCCCAAGCAAGGCAGGATTTGCCTGGAAAGAGCAGTAAACTCTAATGTAGCAGCTCTGACCTTCATCTGTGAGGCTGTGCTAGACAAGGGAACTAGACACAAGCACTGGGTTGCTTGAGTTGATAGAAGTGATCTAAAAGGCATCTCAGCACTAAATTTCTGTGAAAGGTAGCAAATGGTGAAATTCTTGGATGATCTGTCACTAGAACTACCACAGTTTACATTTTGGGTTGCTATTTATTTATGCTGTCTGTCTCCAACTTGTGAGAGTAATGAAAATGGTAAAAAGTGAAAGTGATAATGCAACTCAGTGGATGACTTAGATGTACCTTGGGACCCTGAAAGCCAGAACACTCCATATGTACAAAGTAGCTAGATGTATGCCACCACAAGTAGTCTTATTTCCCATAAAAGGCAACTGGTTGGAAGAGGATTTACTTTTCTGTTAAAGTAGATGTCCATTCTGTTGATGTTTGTTTCAGCAGGTAGTATTTCCTCAATCTTGTACAAAAATATGTTCACCCATTAGTTCCTTTAAGTGTTTACAACACTCTGTGGTATAGGTAGAGCAATAATTATCTCTCTCCTCCTCCTCTTATTGCTTATGAGGAAGTCATTGCTTATGAGATTTAGAGTGGGAATTGACTTCCTCAGGATCACACTACTTATCAGTAGCAGAGCAAACTCTGTAGAACTAGGCGCAGAGCACTTTCCATCACAATTTAGCCCAGAAGTTGAGAGGGATGTTGGCTTTAGTCATGTCTTAAGATTGTGGCCTCTTTAGCATATGACTCTAGAGAGAAGGAGAAAATATCCTTGCAAGACACTGAACGATCTCAGCCAGCACCAGCATGGCCTAAAGGGAGGCTAGATAGGCCTAGATGCTGGTTGAGGCTCACATGGGGAAAAGGGGCTGTGGGCCCTTGACTGTGACCTGCCCAAGCCACATAAATTTGCCTCTTAGTGGGTGTTTAGTTTTTTAGTACAAGGAAGTGGTGGTAAGTCCAAGAACCCCAGCGTGGCCCATCTGTCCCACTTTGGGTTCTCTGAACTCACCAGCTAAGGAGTAAGGCAATAGGGCACAGAGCTTCTGGTTTGGAAGCTGATGACTAGTAGTATTTAAAGAAGGGCTATTGCAGCTGCCTCAATGGCATATTTTTTAACACACAAGGAATAACCACTTTACGTAGCACTTACAGTCTTCATTCCAGTTAAGTCATTTGAAACTTGTTACATCGTGAATAGGGCTGGGCAGAAAGGACTATTACTAATTTAGAATGAGGAACGTGAAGCTCAGAAAATTTGCTAATGTAATTCCTAATGTTAGTAAGTAGTTTAGTCAGGACTCAACACCATCTTCTCTTGATACCAATCAAGATGTTTTCCTTCACTACATGTCTTGTTATCCAGTGCTCCTGTCCATATCTCTAAAGGCAAACTGTATCTGCAGTAGCTCCACCTTACCCTTAAGAAGGAATGTCTTTGATCTATGGGGCCAAGCCCAGCTGAGAGAAAAAGGCTAAGCTCTTAAGCTTTTTGGGGATATCCCATGACTGACTGAGTTAGGGCAGTAGGAGAGCCTTTGAAGCTCAATGCCTAAAAGAACCTCAGCCAGTTGATAGTGCCTCTTCTCATTTTCACCAGAAAAGTGAGGGCTACTTTAAAGTTTTGGGGAATAAATTGTTGGCTTTGGAGCAGGGGATGAGCCTATATGGATAAAAGAGAAGTTGATGTTTGCGTGGGGGAGGGGCTAAGCTCAGGGAGAAGTATCTTCCATATGGGGCAGAGGATGGAGCAATGCAAGTGTGTGTTGGCTGGGTGGTGAGAAAAGGGTGTTGAATTATGGACTCATCCGTACCCCATCTCTACTGGGACTGGAGAATGGGGAAGGGCTGGGCAAGCTGGAAACTCCACCTCAGGAAGCCAGTTTGTTCTCCAGCTGAGTCATCCACCTGCCTGTGAGAGGGGAGGGCAGGGTGAGTGGAAGAATAACCAGCTGCTCTTAGATACTTCCTCATCCTTTTATAGCCCCACCCCTGTCCCCAGTCCCAACCCTTCAGAGCATTTTGCAAAGAAAGAGGAAGCATCAACCCAGGCTACCCAAGCTCTGGGAGTCACTCCTCCAAGGCTTGTCGTTCGCATCAGGATTGGTGGCTTGGTCCTGTAATGCCCTGGCATTTGCTCTCATCTGGTTCCTACCTCCCCACATAGTCATACACTATCAGAGACAGAGGGGGCTTATGAGATGAACTATGTTTTCATTTTATAAAGGGAGCATCAAATCCAGAGAGAGGCAGTAACTTTCCAGGGCCACCTTGTGTGTGGGATCTGAGCCCACCTTGGCTTAAGGGGCATGCTAACCTCCACCAAGGCTCAGCTTAACTGTTAGGGAAAAACCCAGGCATTGAATATCCATCTCTTGCTTCTTGGCTTGCTACTATTAATAGAAGGCCACACTGCTTCTTCTCTTCCTGGGCCATAAATTAGCATCTTTCTCTTGATGGAGAGATAGGAGGGAGGAGGTCTTGGGGTCAGAACACTGGCTTTAAAAATAATCTTCTGGATGTCATTGGGCTCCTAATTACCTAAGCCCCAAGTTTATGCAAAGAGAAACTTGGAAGTTAGATGGCAAGGAGCACAACGGGCGGGGGTGGGGGGAAGTGGCAGCAACAGTGGGCTCAAGGATTGCAGCATCATAAAGGCGATGGAGAATAGCTGGGAGGATTTCTTCTTTAGCAGTTTGAAATGGCTGACAATTGAACACCAGGCAGTTTGTTGCAGAATCATTGTGCTGGGGGGAGAAGGGGAAATAGAAGGGTGTTGAGCAGTGTAAGTGGTCTCACTGAACCTCCAGGATGACAGTGAGTGGAGTTCTTCAGTAAGTAACAAGGGAAAGGGCAGGCATTGACTAAGGCTTTTATTTTATTTTATTTATTTTATTTATTTATTTTTTGAGACGGAGTCTCAGTCTCGCTCTGTTGCCCAGGCTGGAGTGCAGTGGCTCAATCTGCTCACTGCAAGCTCTGCCTCCTGGGTTCACGCCACTCTCCTGCCTCAGCCTCCTGAGTAGCTGAGACTACAGGCGCCCGCCACCACGCCCAGCTAATTTTTTGTATTTTTAGTAGAGACGGGGTTTCACTATGTTAGCCAGGATGGTCTCGATCTCCTGACCTCGTGATCCTTCCACCTCGGCCTCCCAAAGTGCTGGGATTACAGGCGTGAGCCACTGTGTCCGGCTACCTAAGACTTCTAGAATGTCAGAGATTGAAAGGGCCTTAGAGATGCTGCTAGTACAACCCCATTGTTTTATAGTGGAAGAAACCAAGACCCAGAAAACAGTGCTGTGACCTAGTCAGCACCACACAGCAAGAACTAGGACTACAACCCACATTCCTTAACTCCTAGGCTAGGGCTTTTTCCCCCACTGAGTTCAGAGAACACTGAGACTCTTAATTCTTAGTAGTTCTGATTTGGTTTGCCCCAGTAGTTTCAGGAACTAGTTTCATTTGTGCTACAGACTAGCTTATTAAATGTTTATTTGGGGGGCGTTAGCCAATTAGTGGAATTTATTCCATGTTTTGGTAAGTATTGCTGTAAAGTTCTGAACTGTGACATTGTATTTTCCTTTTTTTCAGTTCTTATTCTGATGTGTTGGTCCCCAACACCTGCTGGTACATTTGCTTACATAGCTCTCTTTTCTCTTTAAAGGATGATTGTAGCCAGAGTGGTAAAATAAAATCTGGCTGCCTGCTGAGCCCTCCCCTGCACTCAGAGGTCAGATATGTGATTCTACGAAATAGGAATGAAATGTATGCTGAGGCAGAGACACTGCTTTCCTGAGCTTTGTTTTACATGTGTCTTTTTTTACATGTTAAGCTTTGAGCTTTGTTGTATATGCGAATTTGAAAGTAACCACCCTAATCACAATGTACAGGACAACACAGTGCATAGGAAAGTTGTGTGTTCAGTTATTGGAGTTTCTGGGCCTGAGTTTATTCACGCTTGATTCATGCGTGGTCTTGAGCTAGAAAGGCCCTTAGAGATCTTTCTGCCCAATCCCCATACCTTTTAGAGAAAGAAACTGAGGTGCCAGGTCATAGTCATGAAATAGAACTGTTCTTTGTTTTCGGCCTTACCTACTGTTCTTCATTTGGATGGTTTAAGTCAAAACACACAGAAAATTGCCAAAATAATGCTTCCAAGGGAATGTCTGTTGGCTGGCTGGGAGACTGGGGATGACCTTTTGTCCTCAGACAGTTCTCTTGGGCTGTGCATATCCTAACAAAGGCTGATAGTGACTCAGCCTCTTGTTCAGAACGCAGTACTCACCACCACCCCCTACCCTGAGCTCACCCCACATCTAATAACCATTTCCCCAAAAGGACTGTAGACGACTAGCTGTTCTTGGTTAGGGAATGGTTGTGTCTTGGTGTATGTAAAGCTAGGTCCGAAAGACTAGAACAATAATCAGGGACATCTGGGTCAGTCTAGACCAGTGTTTGGGGAATAAGCTGCATAAGGATACCCTGAGGGTGCTCTTCATACATGCAGATTCCAGGGCCCCACTCTAGATCTGCATCAGAGTTTTGAGGAGATGGGGCGTGAACATCTGTATTTTTAACAAGCTTTCCAGGTGATTCTGGTACACTGTTAGATTTAGGATATGCATTGGGACCTTTGCTGTCGTATCTCAGTTTGGCTTAAGCTCTTTTTTTTTTTTTTGAGACAGAGTCTTGCTCTGTCGCCTAGGCTGGAGTGCAGTGGCGTGATCTTGGTTCACTGCAACCTTTGCCTCCCGGGTTCAAGCAATTCTTGTGCCTCAGCCTCCCAAGTAGCTGGGATTACAGGTGTATGCTACCATGCCCAACTAATTTTTGTATGTTTAGTAGAGACAGGGTTTTGCCATGTTAGCCAGGCTGGTCTTGAACTTCTGACCTCAAGTGATCTGCCCACCTCAACCTCTCAAAGTGCTGAGATCACAGGTGTGAGCCACTGTGCCTGGCCTTAAGCTGTTTTAAATAGACCTCCGAGACAAAAGAATAGCCCCATTACATTAGTACCACCTTTACAGTATGCAAAAACACTTCCCATCTGTGATTTTATTGGTTACTCATGATAACCTTGTTAGACAATGGGACAGGCATTAGACAATAGGACAGGCAAAATTATCCCAACTTTGCAGATGAGGAAACAGCCTTGGAGAGCTCACAGTCTAAGGTCACAGTTAATAAGCAACAGAGTGGCAAGTAACAGAGTTCCAAAGCCCCCTATTTCACACATTCTGGCATTTAAACCTAGGGCAGGACCTGACCTTTCATCTTTGGCTTCACCTGTAGACTTCCTAGAGGGATGATCCAACTTGCAGTTCCCATGTGTTAGGGATTTGTCTTGGCTTCTCTGCTCTTGGAGGCAGAGATCTCTTGAGGTTGGAGTGCCATACAATATTAACACTGAATATCATTTTCATTCCTTGTGCCCCCAGAAAGCCAGCAGGTGCAGGGTGGCATTCCTTGCTAGTGCAACGACAGGAGGCCTCTGGGGCAGGTAGATCAACTTTATTTCAGATTTTATAATCAATTTAACTCGTACTAATTGGTTGGATAATGATGCTTTACATTTCCGAAGACATTTAGTTGGCATCTATAAAAAACCCACAAGCATTTGCTAAGCAGGTGCAACTGAAATCGAAAGATGAATTCCATTATTATTATGATTGCTCCTCCTGGGCACAGCTACCCAGCAGCCCCAGGCCCTGTGGTCTTTTGACCTTTTGTGGGGGCAGACACACGCAGTTTCTCTCAATTGGAATTCCTGGCCATTTCAGATCTGCACTCTTTATCTTGCTAAGCCCTCTGTAATAAGACATCGGGATTGGATACTCTACCTTTGAAGCCTTTGTCCATAATGTATGTGTTCTGACGTCTATCCATTCCACAAGCACCTGTGAAAAAAATAACGTAAGGCAAGAAAATATGGGGGTGAGGTTTACTTAGACTGCTTGTGTTTGTTCTTTTTTCTTGCTTTTCCCCACTTTCTCCCCTACCCAGAAAATAAATAGTTGTTTATTGCTAGAAAATGATTCTGGGTTTAATCTACCTGAAATTATTTTGATAAATGATTCTGGGTTTAATCCACCTGAAATTGTTTTGATTATAGGAATTCTTAAAAGGCTCATAAGCATTAAGGTGAACTACAGCGACCCCTGGCATATTCAGCACTCCTTCCCTTTAACCTTCACCCTAGGGGAATGTCTTTCAGAAAGTAATAAAAGGCCGTTCTGATGCCACCTGCATTCCCTGCAGGTGAAACTCCAGGCTCCAAGGGTATAGGATAAGGAATGAAGCAGAACCAGTTCTTAGCTTGAGGGAAAGTTGTAAGACATTACAAATCACAGTTCTGTTGGAATTTGGCATGGGTTTGAAGATAATATTTATCACCTCTCAGCTCTGGTCCTGTCTGTCCTCTCCTGGATCCAAGGCTTATCTGAGGGGAGCCAGAGAGAAAGAGGGAGACAGGTGGCTGAGGTTCTTGATTAGTCGTCTTTGTAGGATGTGCAGACATTCCCTCCCATAGCCAGTTCTCTTAGTTACTCATTTTTTGGGGTGGACCATTTGCACATAATGTAGAGTTGTTTTTGGAAAGTATTACCAGTGTTTTCAGCCCCAAGGATTCCTTTCTACCTTTTGGCTGTCAGTTTTTTCCTAAGCTCCAACAACGCATGATGGCCCTGAGCCTCAGCCAGAGGCTTCAGGGACTAAGCTTGGGTTCTTTGCTACTGGTGATCCCAGAAAAGAAATTGTTTGGCATTTCTAGGTTAGGACAGTAATGACTGGCTCAAAGAGCAATTTTTTCTTCCAGCTTTGAACCGAGGACACAGTACCAAGCGAGGCCTGCAGCAAGTACTTACTAAAACACAGTTTGACATTCCATGACTCTTCCCAGTTTCTCACACTGAAGACCATCCTGTTGCTATTTAGATGCCTCCCTATAGCTCCTCTACATAGAGTTCCCATGTTGAATTTGAAAGAGTCTACTCCCATCTGCCTACCTTCCACACATTACTGAGGGATACAGCAGAACCAGGCCTAAGTTTTTCTTTCAAGTTTGCTATTTTTCTTTTCTTTTTTTTTTTTTTTTTGAGACGGGGTCTCGCTGTGTCACCCAGGCTGGAGTACAGTGGCGCAATCTCCGCTCACTGCAACCTCCACCTTCCAGGTTCAGTCGATTCTCCTGTCTCAGCCTCCCGAGTAGCTGGGACTACAGGCATGTGCCACCACTCCCAGCTAATTTTTTTGTATTTTTAACAGATGGGGTTTCACCATGTTGGCCAGGCTGGTCTTGAACTTCTGACCTCACGTGATCTGCCTACCTCAGCCTCCCAAAGTGCTGGGATTACAGGTGTGAGCCACCTCACCCGGCCTCAAATTTTTTCTGAAAGGTGTATAGGTACCTGTGTCCTTCAGAATCATGACTGCAACTGCCTATATGCTGGCATTAGTTCAGCACTTTATACAAAGGACTTCCTTTGCCCTCCCTGAGGGAAGGTGGCTAGGGCATTAACTTTTCCTTTTTACAGAACAGGGAACAGGCCCAAAGAGCAGCAGTGACTTGTCCAAAACCACACCGGCAAGTGAGAAACTGAGTTACAGTTACAGCCCACATCTCTCGAAGTATTCTCTCGCATTGGACACCAGCCTGCCTGGGTGTAAGACAAATGCCAGCGCATGGTGCTCTGGTTACACTAGTTGAAGAGAGAGATCTGTAAAGCAGGAGAAATCTGGCCTGGCTCAGAGGATGCTCCCTTGTGGAAAGAGATACAGGGTGGTGGTGGTGGGGCTGTGTGTGTGTATATGTTGGGGGAGTGGGAGAGATTATAGTTAGTGGGGTTATTAAATGCCCTGGATACTATCCAGGGGACCCACAGCTAAGAATACAGCCTCCTGAGTATAGGCCCAGGGTCCATGCAGCCCATGCCTGCTCAGTGGGCAGATGAATTCAGAACTTTCACCCTTCCTCGTGTTACTGGACCCAGGGACCTGCAGGGGTTGGTAGAGCAGCTCAGTTTCCTTAGAGTTCTAGGAGCCTGAGGTCAGGCCTAGAGTTGTCCAGTGTGCCAAGGCCCTGCCCCAGTGTGCCCCAGAGGAGCCACTTTGTAGGGAGGCCACATTCTCTGTTCATTCATTGTGCTTATTCCTATGATACCTTATGTAACTCCTACCCACATGTTCCCATCTCAGAGCTAACTTTCCAAGTCTCTTGTGTGTGTCTCTCCCAAGCCACCAGGTTTCAGCCCAGGCTCTACTCAGTACATGAGTACAGATGATGTTGGTTGATACATCCTACCCCAGCCTCTGCAGATCCCTGTTTGACAACCCTGCCCTGTGATCTGAGAAAGCTTGGCTTGGGCCACTGGGGTTTCTGGAGTCTCTGGGAAACATTGGACTTTATTAATTAGCCAGAGAGCTAACTCCCTGTTATCCACTCCAGCAGGGCCCAAAGAACCCCAAAGATGTCACCATCCCCAAGTCATTTTTGAATGATGTTGGGTTGTATTTTGTGGCCTGTAGGGAGGGCAGTTTTGTTGTATCTTCTCCACCCTAAGTAGCCCGTTTGTCCACATCCACCATTCACTGTGGGAACAGAATGGGTGATGGGGAAGATCCAGACAGGTTTCCATCTTTAGATAGGGGATTGAGCTGGTAGACATGTTAGGAGGGAAGAGGGCTTAAAAGGGAGAGTTCTGGGACCATGGGGTGGAGGTCAAGGTACAGGGATGGGGATTAGGGCAGGTGCTGGGTCTGGTCTGGCATGAGGGGGTGGAGGGTAGGGCTGGGGTCTGACCTGGTGAGTGTGGCTCAGCAGGGTGGCTGAGGTGTCTAAGTTCAATGTAGAAGTCCTCGGGCGGGTACCTGGCCTCCAGGGCACTGATCTGGAAATGGGAGTCTAGTGAGAGGAATGACAGGGAGGAGCCATTATTCCCAGGGCCCTGGTATGGCAGGGAAGAGGGTAGGAAGTACACAAGTGGGCCAGGGTCAGGGTGAGGCAGGCTGGGAGGACTTGGGGGCCTCTGTGTATAGCATCCAGAGGGGCTGGGGCCAGGGGCTCTGTTAGAGCCAAGGTCATCTGCCTTGTTTCCCCTCTCCCTCCCTCCCTCCGTTCCTTCCTCCCTCCCTCTGCAGGAATTAGTGCTCCTCCACCAGGGAGGAGGCAGGGGAAAGAAGCCCTTGAAAGGAGTGCCTTGGTAGGGCCTGGGTCGTCAGGCAGAGGTTCCTATCCAGATGGTGAGTGTCTTTTGCTTCCATCTAGATTCCCTACATCCTGGCCCTGGTTTTCTCCCTTGTGGTCCCTGGGTAATAGCAGGGACTTAGCCCTAATATAGTAATGGAAAGGGATTCTAGGGCTTCATCTGCTTGTAAGAGCCGAAATTTCTCCCTGGGGGAAACCATGTTCAGGACTCATAACCCTTTCCCTTCAAGCTGGGTCCCTCTCAATATGGAAGAAGAATAGGGTGGGACATGATGGTGGGGACCAGACTCAAACCACTACTGACCTAACACGTTCACATAGCTGTAGGGGGTCCAGCCTGCTGTGTCTCTGTCAAGGGACTTGTTACTGAGCTGTTTGGAGAGTAGGAGAGCCAGTTAATATATAGTGCCCCAGGTGCCCTTCCCCAATCTTCACTTTGCGTAGCTTCAGTGCACGCACCCTGTGATAATCCTGACCCACCTGGGTCCTAGGCCATTGAAAGAAAGGGCAAGCTAGGTGTTCCATGACAGGCCACCATGGTGTGGTTGATGCCAGTGGGAACAGAACATACCCCACCCCAGGTGTTGGGCTGAAGTTGTAGGGTTCCCAGGCCTCCTGGGGTAGCTTGAGCCAAGCTGGCCCTGATAGAGGAAGCAGATTAGCTGGGGGGTGGGCCTTAGCTTTAGGAGAGGGGCCTCTGGTGACGTCCCAGCTGCAACATGAGGCCATCTCCAGCACAGAGGGAAGTCTTGAGGCTGCCTGCAATGTCACTGTTACCTCTGCCACCTGATCTTGATTAGGGCTGAATGTGAGATTTTCCTTTTCCTGTGACCAAAGGAAAGCTTCAGAATAGAGTATCTTGAGGTTTATGTTGTCATCTTTCCTTTCTCTACATTTTCACAGCTGCCCTTCATATGAGGCAAGGATGGTTATCCTCATTTTACAGATGGCGACCTGAGTCCTGACTTGTGTGCTTTGCTTGTGAACACACAAGGAGTCAGTGACAAAGCTGTGTCTGGAACTCAGGTCTCAGCTCCCAGTGCCATGTCCTTTCCATGTCATCACAGCTGCCTGCCTCTGCTGCAGATGCCCTATCTGTTAGACTGAGGGGTCCTTAACCACATAGAGCCACTCTGGGCCCCTGGGTTGAGGTGACCCAGAGGGTCACCAAGTTGGCTACTCTGCAGTAATTCCAGCCCCTTACCAAAAGAGGGTGGAGGCTGAGAGTGGTCTTGGGGTGTTGGCTTGATAGTGGTTGCCCTTGAGGCTGTATATCTGTGTTACTGTTGCTGGACCAGGTCTGTAGGCCGATGGTCATTCTCCACGGGACAGGGAAGAAAGGACTCGTAGATCTCTAGGGCATAGCCCTGGACAGTGAAAGCCATGCTTTTGTCCCAGAATGGGTATTATGGGAAGCTAGGAATCCTGAAATTCCCACTCCCACCATGGCCCTGCTCCCCACTGTTCTGTGTCTGTGGGCATGGGCACAGGTGGGTATCCAGAGGTATGCAGCATGAGCCTCTCAGACCTGTCCTCAGGGACTGTTCATCCTCACTTCTTGTTTCCCGCTCTGCCTGGTGTGAGTCTGGGCACATTAAGGGAGCTCCCATATGTATTATCTACACATAGGTGCGGAGACATCCTTGCCCAAGGGCCTGTGAGTATAAGAGGACATCTTGCCAACAGCCAGGGTTATGCTGGAAGCTGTCAGGGAAGGTCCTGTCCAGAAGGGTGCACACCTACCATGAAGACCTACAGAACTCACTGTCCACAGAACACTGGCTGTGGCTGAAGTTTGGGTTCCACATCCCTTGTGTTGATTGAGATTGCAACAAATGGTTATGAGTGGGTACTGATGACATGGTTATGTTCACATTGTTAGGTAGTTATCTGAATAACAGTAGTTACTCTATAATATGCCAGTTGCACACCTTGTGTTGGTAGCATACTGCAGTGATTTGTGATAGGTGGTCTAGTTTTTTTCTTTTTTTTTTTTTTTTTTTTTTTGAGATGGAGTCTTGCTCTGTCGTCAGGCTGGAGTGCAATGGCATGATCTCAGCTCACAGCAGCCTCCACTTCCTGGGTTCAAGCAATCCTCCTGCCTCAGCCTCCCAAGTAGCTGGGAATACGGGCGTGAGCCACCACGCCTGGCCTACAAGGTGGTCTGGTGTTTTGATTACATGCTGACATGTGGCAAAAGTGTCTACATGATTATAGGTGATAAAGCTAATACGTGATTACATGACTTGGTACCAGTTGGTTACAGGATGCAGGGGTATATGTTATAGTGAGTGATGCTGTGGGTTGGTTACACAGCACTTGGCTCCACATAACATGCTGGCTCCATTACATGCTTCACAGAGTGTTTACATGTACCATGGATCACAGGGTTGCTTTTAATGTATTGGCAGTCAGTTCTACATGGACCCTCCATGTGGGGGATGCAGTTCCTTCCTGGGCAGAGGTGAGGGTTAAATGAGAGGGCAGTGAGTGGGGGCTGGGGAATCAGGGGCCCGGTACCTTGGTGGGGCTGTTCCTGTCCAGAGTGCTGGCCTGGCTGGTGGCAGGCCCCCCACATGCCAGTGCGTGGTAGCTGGAATTGGAAAAGCAGTGGGCATGGCTGCTACTTTGAGACAAATCTGGGAAGAGAACAAGGTGCCACATACCATCATACCCCTGCCCCTGGTATGAGATACCCCCAGTACTAATGCTTGGGCTGGGAGCCTTGAGAGAGCCCGGCAAAGACAAACAGCCAAGTACCCCATCCCCCAAGCTTCCTGGCATCCACTACCCCTACCGAAATCTGGAGAGCCTGATTTGCTGCTTCCCTTATGCTGGTCCTCCCTGCAGCATGGCAGAATGCAGGATAGGCTCGCCAGTGCCAGGGCGGGGCACCATCAACTGGAGCCTGGATGGGGCATGTTGGCTTTGATAGCCTTACATGTTTCTGAGTCCCTATTTAGGGCTGGACTCCTGCTTCCTTCTAGGGTCACATCCTGGTAATGAGATCATAAAGAGAACCTCACTCCTCTTGACTCCGTTCTTCCCTCCTAAGGATTCCAGAACCTCTCCATAGGGCCAGGGAATACCAGAGGAATGGCATAGGAAACCCTAGCCAACCTTCTCAGTATAGTCATAGAAGAAAATCCCCAAATCTCCCGTGTGGGGGATGTCTGCTTGCTGTAGTGTGGCATGTAGACCAGGAGCTCCTTGAAGGCATGGTGTGCACTGGCCTGCCTCTGTCTACCCTGCAGTGCCTAGCATGAAGCTGGACATACAGAAGGCAATACTTAGCAGGAATGGGCTGAAGTGATTTGGGTTTTCTAAGCACAAGGTCCAGGAGGCTGCAGATGAGCCATGAGCCATGCGCCATGGAGCCACCTGGAGAGAGCTGTCACCTTGTGCCCACCCAGACGGGCCCAGCCTCGCATGGTCCATGACTATAGGGCAATTTCAGAGCATTTTGGCCTCTACTTTTTAGCCAAATATGAAGCAAAAAAACCTTTCTTATTTCCAAGGCAGCAGTCCAGGGTTCAGGGGAAAGGAAGGATATCGCCCAGCAGCCCCACCTTGACCCCACTCAGACTCCCAATTAAAATGCCTATTGGAGCTGTTAACCACATTCGTGGATGCACTGGGCTCTGGCACACTTGCCAGAGGGACATTGTTCAAACTTTCAGACCTCCCCCAAGTCAGGTAGTGTCCCCTTCCACTGTACTAATAGGGCCCTCTCTAACTGGGAACTGGGAAGGAGGGTTGTCCTGAGGCCTTCACCAGGGAAACAAATGGACAAGCTCTGGGCACTGGGCTCCAAGGTCTAGTCTCCTGAGGTGGTACAGGCATCAGGTTGGGGAGACGGTCCCCTGGAGAGCTTAGGAAAGTGACTGGTTAGTGTGGGTGACCCTGAGGCCGAAAGCTGGTGGGAAGGATAGGGAAGCTCTGGGAAAATGGGAGGAGGCTCCCAACCATAGCTGCTCAGAGCTAGGGACTCAGGAAACAATTTCCTCTTGGAACCCCAGATACCTTTTCTAGGTAGGCTCCTGCTCCCCATCCCCACTGTCACTCTAGGGGAGACTGAGCTACATCCAGCCATAGCAGTCAACCCTACAGGTACAACCATTCCTGGGGTGTGTGTGTGGAGGGGAAGAGGAGGAAGGACAGGAGCATGGCCCTTACCTGAGAGGGAGTAGTCGGTGCTGGTCATCCTCATGGCAGGTGTGTAGGAGACGCGGGGAGCCAGGTCTCGGCCCTTCTCTTTCTGCCGCCGCCGATGCCAGGCAAATAGGCCCAGCAGCACCACAATGAGGAATAACAGGAGCATGATGCCTGTGACAGCACCCACCGAGTGCCGCTCTGCACCCAGTGCTGGGCTGATCTTGGTGTAGGGATTCAGCTCCTCCATCATGAGGGCAGCTGCGGGCAGAGGGAGGGCCTGAGCCTGGGGCTGGCCTGCTTGCACTTCAGGTCTCCTGGGCCCGGGCTTAGATGCCCGTAACCCCTCTAATGTTAGGAGACCTGGTTCTGGCCTTGGCCTGATTTCCTCAGTCTCTACGTGACTACCCCCAGCCCTCACTGTGCCTTCGTCCCTAAAGGGGTGGGAGTCCCAGGGTCATGACAAGGAACAGTTGTGACTGTGGATGTGAAACAATAACAAATATTATTTTACTGTGTTCCAAAAATGAGTTAACAGATATTAATTTATTTACTCTTCAGCAGCCCTATGAAGGGATTAGTATTTTCCTTTCACAGATGAAAAAACCAATTTTACCAAAGGTTAGGTAATGTGCCCAAGATTACATAACCTGTAATTGGTGGAGTCAGGAGAAATTGAACACAGCTCCTCTCCCTGCTTCCTAATTGTGTGGCTCAGAGTCCCTGGTTTGCTCGTTTGTAACACGGGGACAATAGCCCCACCCTCCCCAGTCATTGTGAGCACCAAATGATAGACTGGCAAGGAAAGCTCTAAGTACTGTGCTATTATTTCCAGGTTTACTGCCCGCAGGACCCCTCTTGGTGATGTATGTGAGGGCTGCCCCTGCCTTCCATGCTGATGCTTAGTCTAGGGGGCTGTCCTGCCAGGCCCGCAGTGTCTGGACTTCTTGACTGTTGGCTACTGGCTGAACTGAGCTGGCCAACATCACTAGGGAGGTAAATGTGCTGCATTATCGTTCTCAGTGATTTATCCTCAGAATGCAACGGAAATCTGTCTTTTGGCTCCTTTTCTGTAATGTGGATAATTGAGAGTCCATTTTCATCCCCCATGTAGAACCAACATGTTTGTAGCACATTATATAACAAAGCCAGCATTTATTGGAGTGTTCACTTATGGGCCAGGCACCATGCTGAGTCCTTTACTCATACTGTCTCAACTTGATTCTCACAGCCTGACCTTGGGACTCCATCCCCTTTAGGCCCTATGAGGTGTTGTCCGACTGTAGGGCTAGAGCCCAGGTTGAGCCCCTTTGGGCTCCTCAGCCTTCAGAGTAACCTTGTGTTATGGGGGAAGACGATTAATCTACTCTTCCCACTTTGCACGTGGAGTAACAGGCCTAGCAAAATCAAATAACCTACCCAAGGACACCTAGCAGGTAAGGCAGAACTAGAACTTGGCAGATATTCTAACTTGGTCTGGTGACCTTTCCATAGTACTAGCTTGTGGCTACCCTTGCTTGGCTCATGGGAAACTTGCCAAGGGCAAGCCTGGGGAGGCTGTGACTGAGAGACTGCCTGCTCCTTATGCCTCTCCAGCTCTTGGAGCCTCTGCAGCCCACCCTATTCCTGCTGTCCTCACAAATGTGAATAAAGGGAGGTGTCATCAAATCCAGCTGTTCCAGTTGGAATCTCCCTAGAGCCTCCATAGGGCCCTTTCCACAGAGCCCAGGGGCTCTGCCACCTGTGTATTACCTTGGTCACACCTGATTCCTTTGAAGCCAGGGCTGCAGTAACAGGTGCCGGTGACATGGTCACAGGTGGAGTTGTTCATGCACTCACATAGCTGCTGACACCCATAGCCAAAGGTTCCTGGAGCACATCCTGTGTGGCACAAAGAGTTAGGGTAGAGGACCCACTCACTCTCCACCCCTCCCATTCCATGTGTAGACAGCTATGGCAATAAGCCTGTTCTGCCTCCCACCGAGTGAAGCCTATTCCCTTAGCTCCTGTTGTGCTTTGGCTAGATACTTGGGGGTGGACAGAGCATTTATAGCACTGAGTGGGGGACACAGGGACAGAGGAGGAGAGAGCAGGGCCCACTCACCCCTACTTCCTCCTCATGCAACACATTTCAGCAGTATCTTCCACCTGCCAGGCCCTAATCTGAGTGCCATAGGGACTTTAAAGAATAATAAAAAAAGATCTGCCTCCCACTATTCTCTCATTACCTGCTATGACCTCTGCCCTGCCCTAAATGCCCCCCATCTCCTCCCAACTGATGGGAGAAATTCTTCAAACAATAATGTAGGCATGACATTCCTCAGCAGTTTTCCTTGGAAGTTGCCCCCAAAGTCAAGGGACCAAGGGGTACAGAGCCCTGAGTGAGTGGACCTTGAAGCGGGAGGCATCCTCTGCAGGAGGCTGGAGCCCAGCAGCATCACCCAGGATCAGGGGTCAGGACAGCTTACTCTGCTCACAGTGTTGCCCGGTGAAGCCTGTGCGGCAGGTGCACTTGCCACTGATGTGGTCACAGCTGGCGCCATTCTGACACTGGCATACACGCCCACAGTCCTTCCCAAAAAATGCTGCTGGGCAGCCTAGAGAAACAGGATTTCCAGTGATGAGAGTTGCTGCTGGGTGAGGATAAGGGGTGCAGCGGGAACCAGACCTGTCTTCTGTCTCTTTTTTTGCTGAGCATGGGATGAAGACTAGTGAGGCCCTGCACCAGAGCTGTCTCCCTGCTCAGGATCTTCATGCTGAAGGGGCAGGGGCTAGATGATCTTTGCCTTTTCAAGACAGAGGGGATGTGGAACCACAGGCCAGGCTAGGGTCTCCTTCCTGTGTGGCCACAGGCTGCTCCTCCCCACTCTGGGCCCCACTGTCCAAGGAGGGTCTGGTCTTGGTGATTGCTGGGGTACCTTGCAGCCCCGACCTTCCAGGACTTTGGGCTTGTCAGTCCCCTGAATCCAGTCAGGTCTGGAGCTGCCCCTGCAGAGCTCCTCAGTTCTCATGGGGGCAGGAGTCAGGTACTAATCCTGGGGCCGCCTTCCTTCTTCCCTCCCTGCTGGTCTGGACAATGCCGACACTGGCCAGTAGGCCGCAGCATGGGATTCTAAGTGGCTGGGAGGCCAGGAGGTGGGGCTTACGCTGTGTGCAGAAGAGTCCAGTCCAGCCAGGGGTGCAGTGGCAGGCCCCGTCCTCGGCGCTGCAGCTCGCCCCGTTGTGGCAGCTGCATGTGTGGAAGCAGGCAGGGCCCCAGAACCCGGGTGGGCAAGCTGGGATGTGGGTGAAATGCAGAGGGTGAGGGGAAGGCAGAGAGGGGCAGATGGAGAGGGAGAAGAAGGGGGAGTACACGTCAGAGCCAAGATGCCAGGATGGACCTGGCTGACATTTCCTGGCTTTCAGTGGCTTCACACATTGTTCCCAGAATTCCTGCACTTACCTCTTGGCTTAGTTACCCAAGATTCCCATTAAGCCCAGATTCTCTACCCACTCTCGAAGTGTTTGATGCTGACTCAGCAGGGCTCTGAGGGCCCCTGAGCCTCCCCTCTCAGGGGACTGATTTGGAGCATGCGGGTAAACACTGTGGTTTGCCATGTATGTACTGTGTGTGCTTCCCCACAAGAATGGGGACTTTCCTAGGGCAGGAGCTCTCTCCTCTCAGTTGGTGAGCTCCTGACAGCGGAGCCTATGTCTCCTCATCAGAATGGAAGTACCCTCAGCCATCTAACTAGGACCTCCCGGAGGGTACTGGCTAGGTCTCACCCATCAGACAAGGAGCTCCACAGGGTCTCTGTCCTTAGTTTGGGGGCTTCTGGAGAGAGGCTGTTCCCTTCACATCAGATTGGTGCACTTTACATGAACAGCCTCTAGGACATCATTCACATGGGCCACCCAGAGGGCACCGTACTCTCCTGAAGTGGCTGCCCTGGCCTCATCTCACTTCCCTACTCCCAAACTCAAGCATGCCGTTGCCCCTCCTCTTTCCCATCCAAACTCAGGGGCTACTCCTTGCCCAGGTGCTAATGGAGTATTGAGCCTCAGAATTCATAGCATTAATGGTACTGTCAACAATATCAATACCTTTGATACCAGTAGTTAATACCAATGATCAATTCTAATAATCCATCATGTTAGCTATAGAGCTAAATGGGGCTTGTTCCTACATGCAGAAGATTTCATCCCTCGAAGTGGAGGCACCAGGACAGAGAGGTTTTGGGCAAGAAAGGGAGAATTTTTGGGCCTGACTCCAGGTAAGGGCATTCCCAGGTAGTAGCAACTTACCCTGTGAGCAGTCCTTGCCAATCCATCCAGGAAAGCACTGACAGGAGCCATCGATAGGGCTGCAGGTCCCATTGTTGGCACAGGAGCAAAGCTGGGCACAGTCCTGCCCAAAGTGTCCTCCAGCACACACTGTGGGCACAGGGCAGCCTGGCACCCATCCTCCCACCTGTGTTCCTCTGACCTCCACCCACAGCCTCATCCCTAGAAGTTCCCAAGCCACAGCCACGATCACCCAGGGGTCATGGATCTGGATGGAAACCGTGCCCACCTTGGTACCCTCGTCACCCTTCTCCATTTGCACATAAATGAGTTGCCCCTCTCATGCCTACAGCTGCATTCTTCAGAAGGCTCTATTATGATTGCCTTTAAGAACAGCCTGAGGCCCATGGAGGTAGAATCACCTGACTTAGGCCTCACAGATGAGAAGTGGGAGGCTGAGCACTATACTTCTGGACTCACAGTCCAGTGCTCCCTGTGCTGTTCCACAGCCTTCTGCTTCCATTACTACTTTCACCAACATCACAGATTCCACAACCACAAGGGTAGAGAATGTGTACAGCTGGACAGAGAGGGATAAATGCTGTGTGGCAGGCCTGCCTGCGGTTTGACTGTTAAAGGACCAGCCCTGAGTGTCTGTCCCTGCCCGCCTCTTTCCTCTGACCTGTTGCTCAAGCCTCTCAGCTCAGCATCCTCCTCACAAAAGCCCTCCTGAGTTCAGAAGGCCCTCTCCACCACTGGTATTTCCAATTTGAGTCACTTGGAGGATTTTGGTCGCAGACTTTCCTGGAGGAGTCACTCCTTTGTCCCTGGAGGAAGAGCTGGTTTCCTCAGTCAGGCTGCAAAGCTCTTTTAGGACTAGGCTTGAGTATTCGTTGAGCACTTAACCTTTTATTTCCCCTTGCAATTCATGCCCCACCTGCTTCCTACAGCTGGAGCTCTCTAAAGCACAGCTTTCTTCATGGCACTCCTATGTCCTGCTCAGAGAGCCTCAGTGGGTTCCCATTGCCACAAAATAAAGTCGATCCTGGAGAGCAGCACAGAGGATGATGGGAATGTGTTGATTCTTGAAGATACATGACTTCGCCAGGGCCCAGGTCTCTCACATCTTGGGCTGAAACCCTCTGCTTTACACCACACTGCCTCATATTGGTAGTTCTTCCCCAGCCAGACTGTGGGCCACTAGTGGCTAGGATCTGCATCTACTCAGTGCCTCTCCTGGACATGATGTGGTAGTTGAGACAAATAATAAAGGCAGTACGGTGGACCAGACTCTCCAGTCCAAAGCCTTGAATTTAGGTCCAAGTTTTCTTTATGTATTCAACAAACATATACATGACACTTAAATGCACCAGACACTGTTCAATGTGCTTCACAAATACAGGCATACCTCAGAGATGTGGGTTTGGTTCTAGATCACTGGAAGTGAATATTGCAATAAAGCAAGTCACAAATGTTTTGGTTTCCCAGAGCATACAAAAGTTATGTTTACATTGTACTGTACTCTATTAAGTGTGCAATAGCTTTATGTCTAAACAATGTACATGCCTTGATTAAAAAACACTTTATTGCAAAAAAAATGCTGACACAGACACAAAGTGTACACATAGTGTTGGAAACATGGCACCGACAGGCTTGCTTAAGGCAGGGTTGCCACAAACCTTTGGTTTTTTGTTTCGAGACAGAGTCTCACTACGTTGCCCAGGCTGGAGTGCAGTGGTGCAATCTTGGCTCACTGCAACCTCTTCCTCCCAGGTTCAAGCGATTCTCCTGCCTCAGCCTCCCCAGGAGCTGGGATTATGGGCACGCGCCACCATGTCCGGCTAATTTTTGTATTTTTAGTAGAGACACGGTTTCACCATGTTGGCCAGGCTGGTCTCGAACTCCTGACCTCAAGGAGTCCACCCACCTTGGCCTCCCAAAGTGCTGGGATTACAGATGTGAACCACTGCACCCAGCCAAACCTTTAATTTGTAAAAAACAAGAAGATGCAGTTTCTGTGAAGCACAATAAAACAAGGTATGCCTGTATTTAGTTCACTTAATCTTGGAATACTCTTATTATGTAGTCTCATTATTATGCCCTATCATTAACTCTGCTTTATAGATGAGAAACTGAGGCAGGTTAAGTAACTTGCCCAAGGTCACACAACTAGGAAGTTGTACCGCTTGCTGGCTAAGTGCCTTTGAGCAAACCACAACACCTGTCCTAGTCTGTGTTTCCTCATCTTTGAGGTGGGAATGGGAGCCCTCACCAACTGTCCTAGGGCCATGGTTAGTAGCTGTGGCAGGCTGGCTGATTTGGGGCCCTGTGCTTCCCCGGCAGAAACCTTAGTTCCCTTCCAGGAAGTTCTGTTGCCAAGAGGGTGACATGCATCTCACCTGTTTGCAGCTCAAGCTCCAGCTTTTTGAAAAGCAGGCTGCCCAGCCTCTTTCCTACCTCTGGGAGGTACTTGATTTGGGGAACCCAACCCCAAGTCCTGGCCCTCTGTGGGGAGTAGGGTGTCAGTGCTGCTCCCCCTACCCTACCTGCAAAACGAACTCTGAGCTTCTCTAACAAGACAGTCTTATCTTTGAAGTCTTTCTCACATATATGAGGCCAAGAAATTTACCCACAGAACTGCTAATACGATCAGTCTAATCCATTAATTGGTTGACTTCTTAGCTGAATCAAGAGTAAGGCAAAGAGAGGGGCAGTGGACAGAAGGGGGGCTGGTGAAAAGAAAACATCTGGTTAGATTTAATCTATGTTTAATGATTCTGCATAAGCAGTGTCTATAATTTGTAACTCGCTGGAAAGCCAGTCATTAGAAAGTGTCAGTTCAATTTTTTACAAGGTTTGAGACTTAACCAGGGCAGTTGCCATTAATAGCAAACTCTATTAGATCTATATGTGGGAAATACTCATTAGGCCAGTGGGCGATAAATCAGACAACGCAGCATCTGAGAGTTACTCCTCGGGCTGCATGGGTCCTAATTTAGACCTAGACTATCTGTATTGATGGCCGAGTCTCCTATGTTTAATAAGTAAACTTCGACATGTCAGGTTATGATTAAACCATCCTAGGAGGGCTGCAAGTAAATGAAACTGTCACATATGTTTCCCTGGGGCTCAAACTTCTCAGGACCTCAAAGCATCATGTAGTAAACTTTCTACTCAAACATATTAACAGCCCACACACTTGCAAAAATAGCCCAGCTCAGTAGTGATTATTCATCAAAAGAATGGGTTCCCCTGGGAGGTAGTGAGCGCTCAGTCAACAGAAGTATTTAAGCAGAGTCCAGATGAGATTTCTTGCATAGATGACCTTGAAGTTGCTTTTAGTCCTAAGTTTAACAGAGTGCAAGTTCTGTAACCTTGTGTTCAAACCTGTTCTGAAGGCCTCAGCCTACCTTCTAACCCCCATTGCCCACCCCCAGCTACCATATCCATCAGCTGTTCCCTGTAGCATGCCCATGTCTCTATGCTTTGCCTAAGCTGCTTCCTCTACACAGAATGCTTTTCTTCCTTTTCCACCTTTCAAGCTAAGGCCCAGCTGAAGTCCTGCATGGTCCATGGAGCCTTCCCCCAAATCTATACTGTCTCGTCCTAAGAAAGCCAGGGATGGCAATAGGCAATGATGTGTGGAGGCAGCTCCCACCTTCTCACTGGTTGTTCAATATTTGGGAATTTTGTGAATGATGTTAAATCATTGGTACCTTGAAATCAGCCATGGTAGGAATATTTATATTTTTAAAATCTGCAGATGTTACAGATCAGGGTTTTTCCCCCACACAGAACTGGCAGGGCAGAACACCAATGCAAATAAGCTTTATATTGCTTTTCAACTCCTGCTGAGTGGTAGCAGTTCTTGGAGTTGGTATTGTGAAGGATTCTGAGGTCAAATTAGGAAAGCATGTGGGGAGGGATTAGGGATGGTGGCCTGAATATGACAGGGAGAAGGGCTTGGAAGTTGCCATCTCCAGCCCAAGCCAGAGCCAACTCCTCTGCACTCCCACAGCATTCTCTGCCCTTTACCTTTGGCACTCGGCACAGACCACATGGTGCCACTTCTGATGTAGATCTCCTCTATGCTTATGTCACTTTTCATCCCTTTAGCATGCATATTGGAATCAGAATTTGTTTCTGCCACTTGCTAGCTACGAAATCACAGATAAAGCATTTCACCTCTGAGCCTGTTAACTGCGTTAGGGCCTTTGTCTCATGCCATGTGGGGCAGTTCTCATAAAGGCAGCCCAAGTCCTGAAGAGGGAAGGAGCTACCTTTACAGAGTATGATGAAAATCCCTAAGCCCTTCCTTCCCTGCCACTTTCCTTCCAGAACCTCTCACCTCCCTGCCCTGTACCATCCTACTGGAGACAGTACCTTGGTTGCAGAGAGCTCCAGAGAATCCTGGGAGGCACTCACAGATGCCGCTGACATGGTGGCAGGGCCCGCTGCTGTGCACACAGAGGGGGCATGGCTGGGCGCAGCTGTGGCCGTAGAACCCAGGGTCACAGACTGAGGGTAAAGGGAAGATGGTGGTCAGCAGCCCAATAGACCCCAGCCAGCCTAGCTACCCTTCCTGTTCCACACTTCTCAAAAACATAGGGAGACCTGCATCCTTCCCGCATCTTGGAGGGTGCATCCCTTTCTGCAGAGAAGAGCTGTGGTGTGGCCCTGTTTCCACTGAGTAGCTGGGCTGGGCCCCAAACCTGGGGACAGAGCAGCCAGTGCAGAGAGAGGAGACTAGAGGGAAGGAAGAGATGGGGGCTGATTTAAGAGCCCAGCCTCTGTCAGGCCAGGGCTAGTTCTAGTTGGGAGGGCTAGGGAGGATGAGCCCTCTGAATTTTTCGGGGTCAGGGGATCAGCCTTACTTCTCTGGCATAAGGGTCCTCGGAAGCCAGGGGCACACTCGCAGCTTCCATCCTCTGGGGAGCAGGAGCCTCCATTCTCACAGCTGCAGGAGACAGAGCAGTTGGGGCCCCAGCGGCCAGATGGACACGTGCTGTCACAGCGGATGCCTGTGGGCCAGAGGCAGACTCAGGTCAGTGGTAAGAGAGGTGAGGGCAGAGGGAAAAATGGAGGGAAGGGGGACAGTGCAGTATGAAGAGGTGGAGGCAGCATAGTGCATCCAGGAATGTAGAGGAGAAACTCAGCTGAGGCTTGGCTGGTCATGGAGGATTTTCAGGAATAAGTGATGTCCAGAGTTTAAAAGTCAAGGAGGAATTGACCAAGCAAATGAAATTGTATGTACAAAGAGCAGGAGGCAGGAGAAAGAATCATGTCTTGAAAGAAATTGCAAATAGTGAGTGTGGTTGAACCACAAAGTGCAAAATGGGGTACGGCAAGAGATGAGATTGTGGGAGTAAGAAGGGACCAGATCACAAGGGCCTCTTCTGTATGGCATTCAAGAACAGGACCAGGAGAAACCAACTATGGGCAAGTAAGTGCCAGCTGGGAGTGAGCCATATGCCCACACACATTAGCCCAGGAGCTACTGGTGCTGCTGGGTCCCTGCCAGCCCACCCAGGGAGGGGCTCAGAGAGTAGGTGGGGTCTCTGCAGATTCTTCTGACCAGACTCCTCAGTGCAGTATGTGTATCATTCATGCACACATACAATAGAAACCAGTGCTTTGCAAAAATTACATTTACTGTCACTATGTATGATGGACTCTGATGTTTTCTCTGTACTATGATGTATTCTATTTCAGTTTTTAAAATGCCAGTTGTAACCCAACAATTTGATTTAGTGAACCTCAGTTTGACAGTGGCCTATGGGGGAATGGATGGAATTTCTCAATAAGAAAAAGGAACAAAGTCTATAATAGTTTTTTTGGGCTCAGGTAGAGGAAATGTGTGTTAGGTTCCCTACAGCCTGAAGGCGAAGAAGGAAGTTTAAAAGGCCTGAGGCTGGATGCCCCAACTCTGGGGTAGGTTTTCTTCCCAGGCAGAAAGGCTTCCATTCTGACATGCATTAGAGAAATGGAACATATGAGCCCAGGAGATTGGCTTGGCTTCAGAAGGTGAGTATCAGAGGCTCAGAGAGGGGCAGAATTAGTTGAAAAATCATGTCTAACTTGTTATAAGGACAGCGATTGTGGGAAAGAGAAAGAAAGAGGAGAAAGACACTTGTGCCCAGTGAACAGAGCCAGCCCTAGCAGCAGCATGAGAGCAGTGGGACCAATTTGGAGGCAGACTGGAATTGTACAAGCCCACCTGGGCTGTCGAGGAGAGGGGAGGGAGGGTGGAACCACTGGAGAGGGGAGAGGGAGGGGCATGCAACAGGCTTTACTCATCCTCCTGTTCCTCAGTCTAGCCCAGCATCTGCGCTCCCTCCCTGTAGTGTCTCAGTTTTGCAGTAGGGTAGAGGCTTCAGATGCCACTCTCTGGGAGATGGTTGCAGGTGGGTAGGTGGGGGGTGGGCGGGGGGGCAAGTGGTTTCCTCCCCAGGGAATGGGATCTGGCAGCCATATTTTACCCATTGACAGGGGTCTCTCCCAGTGGTGTTTCAGGTGCCCAAGAGGTGAACCCTGGACAGGCATCATAGATTGACTAAAGGGAGTTTGGGAAAGTGAAAACCATAAAACTGTTCAAAGTTTTGGATCCATCTTCAAGTTTCTCCTTTTCCTGGGCATAACAAAGCTGTGATCTGCCATAAGGCTTTTTTTTTTTTTTTTGAGACGGGGTCTCACTCTATCACCCAGGTGGGAGTACAGTCACCCAGGTGGGAGTGCAGTCACCCAGGTGGGAGTGCAGTGGCATGATCTCAGCTCACAGCACTCTCTGCATCCCAAGTTCAAGCAATTCTCCTGCCTCAGCCTCCCGAGTAGCTGGGATTATAGGTGTGAGCCACCACAGCTGGCTAGCTTTTGTATTTTTACTAGAGACGGGGTTCCTCCATGTTGGCCAGGCTGGTCTTAAACTTCTGATCTCAAGTGATCTGCCCACCCCAGCCTCCCAAAGTTCTGGGATTACAGTCATGAGCCACTGCACCAGCCTAGGACTTCTTTTGCCTGTGGTTGTTGGAAACCCAGGATTCAGACCACAGGCCTAGGGACAGCTGTTCCTTGCACTGAGGTGGAGCTTTGCTGCCTACAGGGCCTCTAATTCCACTGCACACCAAGCACTCTGCCAGCTGACCAAGGCACATGTGTCACACATAGACACTGCTCTTTCCTGAAACTATAGGTATTACTGTGTTCGTAAAACACAGATGTGAAAGCCCCACTGAATTCATGGCAGCTGGTTGCTATTGTGTTTATCCTAGCCAATGGCCATTAAAAGTATAGCTACTCTCATTGTGGAATCCTTAGTGTTTTCATGTCACAAGCGGTCCTCGTTTATGGAGATTGAGAACCATGAGTGTACCATGTTTATTCTCAGACTGTAAGTGTCTGCAAAGTCCCACTGGGTTCTAGGACTTGGCAGTTATTATATTCTGGGCCTGTTTCCGTGGGATTGGGGCTCCTGTTTGTGGTGGTTCTATATGTCCCAAGACCTTCTTGGAGCTTAAGACATGGGATCTAAGTGGAAAGAAGGGTCAAGGATTTCCCCATACGGAGTGCCCAGTTCCAGAAGCGACTTACTGATACGATCAAAGGGGCTGGCCTTGGCCTTGTGGGAGGCTCCCAGCTATAGTTTCTGAAGAAGCAGCTTCAGTTACCTTCCTGGGCCCCAGTTTTCCCCACAGTTGGATAGGGATAGTCTCCCTCAGAGGTCCTTTCCTTTCTTACTCTAGGGAATCCCCTTACTTTATTTTTCAGGAATCTTCCCCACCCCCACATCTATATTGGTGGGTAAACCTAGGCTAGGGATCCATACATGATGATCTCTGGTTCATGCAATGAAGCCAGTAGCCACTCAGCATCCCATATCCTTCAGGGTCCGTTTCAGGTCCTTCAGGGTCCATTCCTTCCCCAGGAAGCTTTCTTGGATGTCTGCCCAGGGAGACAAGCATCTCTTTGATAACCAGCAGCATACAGCTTTGTCTGTACCTGTTACTTGAAAGCTTCATACACATGAGTCCTGTTTCCCCTGCCAGCAATGTGAAGACAGGGACCATGGCTTACTGACACTTCTGACTTTGCTTACCTAGGTGCTCCTCATGGACAGGATGCCATCTTGGTCATTTTTGCATCTTTGGTGCCCAGCACAGTGTTTGGCACACAGTAGGTACTCAGAAACTTTTGCTTTTTACCATTTACTGCTGAGTTTGGTAATTGCTTGAGTCAATAAATGCTAGTTGATTGAATAAATGGTTCCCCCTTAAGATACAATCCTGAGTCTCTCATCCTATTGGCCCCAATGTCCTGAGACCCCAGACAACTCCTTTTCCTTATCTGTGGCATGAGAAGGTTGGAGGAGATAAAGTCTCCCCCACTTTAAGGGGAAAAATCATGAATGGTTATAGGCCAACTTCTTCCAGTTTATTTCAATAAACATTTAATAAGCACATATTATGTGCAGGGCAAGATGAATAAGACAAAATGCCAGTTATCAGTAAGCCTATGGCTTATGAGGGTAAAGGGAAGACATGAGCACATCTCCGGGCAGCCCCAAACCTGTGCCGAGCCAAGGAATGAGCAATGTGCCAGGGACTGGGAGATTAGGCACAGATTTTTCTTGAGGCAGAGGTGAGTGGGGAGGGCTCAGTGGGAGGCCCATCTCTGTCTCTCATTGGCCCCCTTCTACATGACAAACCTCAGGACATCAATTGCTTCTTTGAAAAGACTTCAGGACCACATTTGGGGAAATTAGGTTTAGAACAGCAGAGGCCTTGCTGAAAGATTGTTCACCAAAGACAGAATTTTTAAGCACTAGATGTCATTAAAATCTTAATCGGCTCACTCAAAATTAAGGCAATGAAAAATTAAAGTTGATTTCCACTTGGCTTCTGCTGAGATTCTAGGGTGCCAGTGACCAGGGTGGAGCCTTATTCTTTACTGAGGGGCAGGAGCCAGCAGGGCAGGGGAAGCCAGACCAGAGATACTGCAGAGGAAGCAATGTCCCTGGCTCTTGGCTGCTTAGAAACTTTCTGGTTATGAACACAGGCTGTGCAGCAACCTGGTGTTAATTATTAATCTGATAATCTACACTGCCAGAAATGACTATTATTTTTTTCTCTTTGCTGCTCATCACCTTGGGACTGGCTAGTAAGTTCACTCCTGAAATGCTTATTAAGCACTTCCTGTGTTCATGGCCTACTTTTACTGAGCACTTACTATGTGCCAGGCACTATTAGCACTTTATAGGTAGTAACTCATTTAAGCTTCAAAACAACCCTGTAGTTGCAAGGATAATTATCTGTATTTTAGGGATGGAGAGTTCAGGCCCTGAGAGGTTAGACAACTTGCCCAAGGTCATAAACCCCAGCAGTCTGGCTCTAGAGCTGGGTTCTTAACAACCATGTTATCCATATCTCTGTGGCAGGCAGTGGATACAATGGTGAATAAGGCATATGCCTCCATAGAGCTGATGGCCACATTAGGGAGGCAGATGATAAACAGTTACCACAATTATCATTGAACTCTGATTTAAGTACCACAATAGGAAAAATGTAGGGTAGAAGAATTAATAAAGGGGATGCTTTTGTCTTGGTCAGGTGGGGGGTAGGTATCATAGCGGGGCAGTGCCTTCCTAGAGGAAGAAAGCTTTACATTGAAATCTGGTAGACAAGGAGTTATCAGGTGAAAAAGGGAAGGAAATGATCCAGGCAGAGGGAATGGCATGTACAACGGCCTGGAGTCAGGAAGGTGGTTGGCTCCCTGAAGCAGCAGACTGTGGCCCTGGTGGCTGGAATGTAGTGAGCCACAGAGTGAGCAGAGCGAGGTGGAGGAGTCAGGCAGAGCCAGATCCCATGGGCCCTGGGCCATGGTAAGGATTTAAAGTTTTATATAAGAGTCGTGGGAAGCCATTGAGGCATTCTGAACAGAGACTGAAATGGCAGGTCTGAGTTTGAAAAGTTGACTCTGGCCACCAGGTGCAGAATGAATGCAGCCGGGCAAGATCGGAGTCCAAGGCAGTGCCAGATGCGGGATGGTGCCCAGCAGACCGTGTGGTGGCAGTGGGATGGAGAGAAGTAGATGGATTCACCTTGTATTAGGAGGCAGGCTGACAGGATAGATATAAGGAGCAGAATTCTGAGACTGGACTAAGGAGAAAGACCCTTGTCCCCTTCTCCATCATATTCTCTAGATTGAGCACTTAGACCCACCATATGTCAGCTTTTGACCTACTGGACTCCAGTGCCTTGGACAGAGCTTATACCTAATAGATATTCAATAAATACTTGAATTAAATGGAATGGAGAACTGGAACCCAGAGCAGATAAAGGGAAAGATGCATATTCAGGGATCAAGAAGAAAGGTATTGAAGAAGAAAGAACGGTCAAGAGAAGTAGAATACCAAGAACCCAGTTTCACAGTACCTGGGTGGTGGCACAGCAAGGGAAGGTTACCTGTCCATCCGGCCAGGCAGCAGCAGTGGCCTGTGACAGGGTCACATCCATCAGCATGGCTGCAGTCACAGTGTTCACTGCAGTTCAGCCCAAATGTGCCATCCTGTGGAGAAGACAGGGAGAGAAAAATGATCAGACCCAAACTTCCAGAGGTTTGTGTTACTTCTATGGATCTTTTCTTTAATTTTTACTTTCGGAGGGTCCAGTGAGATCTACTGGATCTGGATGACAAAACTGAGCCAGAACCCCACAGGGATGTAGGGAGACTGGGGCTGGGGCACAATGGGGACACGTTTTGTAAGTGGGAATCAACACAGCCATGAAGACACTCTGAAGAATTATTTGGCTGCATTAACAGGAGTATGAGGTTGGGAGGGAGGGTGATACTCCTGCTGTACTTTTCGGTGGTCAAGCTCAAAGGCCTGTAATGATCATTAACTAAAATTGTAAATGAAAGTGCACTTTGCAAATTGTAACACATTGATCACATGTGAGGAATGACTATGATTTATTCTTTGTTGCTGGGGAAGAAGGTAGTCACCAATTCTTATATGCTCATTAGGTATCAAAAGCCTCATATACCTCATTTTTCTTAATCCTCACAGCAATTCCATGATATGATTCCATTATATTCCCACTTTAAAGATGAGAAACAAGGTTAGAGAGGTGAAGTAACATGCTCAAGGTTACAAAGGATGTGACAAAGCCAAGATTTGAACTCAGGATTGCAGGACTCCAAATTACTCATTAAGGAGTGCATTGCTCACTTATCCAACAATATATCAATGGGTTTAACTTATTTGTATCTCAGACCTATAAGATCCAGTGATTAAGTCTGGGTGGTTATTGTTGAACAGTGCTTGCTTTAGTCGCCACACACTCTGATCATAAAAGTACAGACTGTTGGAACCAGAAGGAAGCTCAGACATTATCTACCAAGGAATGGCAAGTCTCGTGGATTAGTAAGGGTTGTCTTATAGCACTGGGTTGTGAAGGAATCTGAAGCTGCATTTGAGCTCGAGTGCCAGTCAATAGTGTTTACCAAGAGCAACACGGGAAAAGTGATGCCATGTCACCACATCTGCCAAGTATTTGCCATTTTATAGATGAGAGGGATGAGGGCCAAAGTAGTAAAATAGCCACAGAGAAGTTAGGACTAGGACTGTAACCTAAATCTAAGTGTCCCATCACCTAGCTTAGTGCTTTTCTCTGTGCACTCTTGTGGACAAACTAACACCAGGGAAAGGGCGTGAGAGAATGCTAAGCCCAACCTGTCCCTCCCCACCCTGGCACTCACCGGGCAAGGCAGCTCACAGGTGTCTCCCAGCCAGCCAGGGGTGCAGGAACAGGAGCCATCTATGGGGCTGCAGGCTGCCCCATTGGCACAGGTGCAGCTCTCGTTGCAGTTCAGGCCCCATGTCCCACTGGGACACGGCAGGGTGCAGTCCAGGCCCTGCCACCCTGAGGGGAGGGAAAGGGACTGTCACTTCTCTGGGTCCAGTGTGTCTTTTTGCCCACTCCCCCTAGCTCTACACACAGCATCCCACCCAAACCACTGCTTTCCTGAGGGCTGGGTTAGAACACACATTCCACACACAGTTCAGAAATTCAACAGAGCTGTTAGGAGAGCTGGGGCTAGAACCCAGGTCTCCTGCCTCTGGGTGCTCACTGTTTGTGCTCCAGGCAGATGATCCTACCTGGAACAGGTACCACCTCAGGTGGGGAGTGCTGTCTCTGCCCAGGCTGGAGTCTGGCAGCTTAACTCAGGGCCCTCTGTTTGAGGGACAGCTGATTCTCCATTTTTAGGCTGGTCACTGGCCTCTTTGCCTACTGCATCATTTCTCCCCTTCTCCCCTTCCCCGCTTCCCTGTTTGTGATGGGGGCTGGCCCCTGCGGGATGCATATCCCAGGATTCTCGTCAGCTGGCTCCCAGCTGGGCTGCATGTGGGAGACCTGCCCACAGACTGGAGAGTGGAAGCAGGAGAGATAGGTGTGTCCTTTTCCTCTTTCTCTGTCTGGGGCCTCAGGCGGTGGCGCAGCCCCCTCTTTCTATGTCTCAGTGCCTACCAGGTACCCTTCACTCCCAGGCTCTGGGAACTCTTTCTTTTGTTCCTCCAACCCTAGGAGCGATAGCAGCTTCTCCCACAGGTATTAATGTCTGGGTTGCATACCTTCCCTGTGTGCTCTTCAGCTCTTTGAACATTGCAATGAATCCCCTCATTACATTCCTGCTATTGAAGTTCCTGGTATGGGTTTCCTTGCCTGGAACCCAACCAATAAAGGCTTCCTGACCTTGCATGTGGGTGGGGCTGGGACAGCCCCACCTCAGCTGGCAGCACCACCTGGGCAGTGTGCTCATATGTGGGGGATGAGCTTGGGGGAGAGGGCACATTACCTTCCTTGCAGGTACAGGAGCCATCTACTGGGGAGCAGGTGCCACCATTGTTACAGCTACAGATGGACGAGCAGTTGGGGCCGTAGGTCCCTGCTGCACAGGAAACGGCACAGACCTCTCCCTGGAAAGGGAGGGGTTGAATTTTGGATCAAAGATTGCTCCACGTTGGATGGCTGTGGTAGGCAGGATAATGACCCCTGCTGCCCCCAACATGTTCATGTCCTAATCCCTGGGATCTGTGAATATGTTACCTTACATGGCATAAAGGGACTTTGCAGGTGTGATTAAGGACCTGGAGATGGGGAGAATGTCGGGGGTTATCCAGGTGGGCCCAATATAATCACGAGTACTTCAGAGTAAAAGATGACCAAAGAAGGTAGGTCAGAGAGATACACCATGAGAAGCCCTCCACCCGCCTGTGCTGACTTTGAAGATGGAGGAAGGGGCCAGGAGCTGAGGAATGCAGTGGCCTCTAGCATCTGGGATCAGCAGCTCTTTTACAGTTAGCAAGAAAATGAGGGCCTCAGTCCTGCAACCAGAGGAGCTGAATCTGCCAACAACATGAGTGAGCAGGAAATAGACCCTCTCCTAAAGCTTCCAGGAAGGAACACGGCCTGCCGGCACCTGGGCTTCAGCCTCATGAAACCCATACCAGACTTCTGACCTTCAGGACTGTCAGATAATAAATTAGTGCTGTTTGAAGCCACTAAGTTGTGATTTTTTACAGCAGTAATGGAAAACTAATATAACCGTTTTCAGTTATTGGAGGGGTCAGGCCTCCAGACCACAAATCTAGAGGACCTTGACCCCAAAGTCTGTATTAGGTTGAAGCTGCACCAAGTCTAACCCGTTGTCTCCCAATCTGATTTCTCACCCACAACCCCATGACACGAGTAGTAATATCCTATCCGTATTTGCCTGAGCCTCAGAGAAGTTAAATGTAAATGATAGCTCATGCATATTGAGACCTTTCTCAATATCGTGTAACACACACACCATCTCATTTAATTGTCACAGCACTCACACGAGATAGAAGCTACTGCCTCAGCATTATTCTCACCTAACAGATAACTGCATGGAGAAGTTACTTAACTCTGCCAAGGTCACAGAACTAAACCCAGTTGCTCCTTGTTGGAACCCAGGCTGGCTGCTTAACCATTACATTACCGGGGATCCTAAACTGGCTGCCCTGGAAAACATTCTGAGATAGAGATTAGTGGGCTCTTGAGAACAATCCCGATGAGGGAGGTGGTCAAGGCTGAGGAAAAGTTGAACCGAGGCACAGTTACAGTAACTTCTGCTGATCTAGCAGGAAGCTCTGAAGCTGAGATGACCCCTGGAGTTGTCCCACATGGGGGAAAAGGAGGGAAATCCTTTATGCCCCCATCAATCACTGGCCATCCACTGGGATGGGGGAAGGGGCCATGACTCCTCAGGTGAGTCAGCTGACTTCAAAGGCAGTGTCTATAGAGGGCCTCACCTGGGAGCCACTAACTTTCCGGCAGCTGGAGAAGAAAGTGCTTCTGTCCTGAGGGGTGAATCTGGGCATCCACTCTACCGGTAAGTGGGTACGCTGTTAGCTCCAGTAAGGAATTTGGAGGAGGGGCAAGTTACAGGGTAGGGAGACCAGGAATGGAGGTTTCAGAGGCGTTGAGTGGTGGGAGCATTCAGTTAATCAGAAGAGTAGGGTAAAGGGGATGCAGATGGGAAGAGGGGTGTGGATGAGAGTGCAGAGAAGTATGAGCTGGGAATGCTCCAGGGGCGGCTGAAGGGTGGAGTGAAGGAGATAGGCAGAAGTGGGGCTGGGAGCCTAGAATGCCAGGGGAGGGAGTTCGGACTTTCTTCCCTGGGTCCCCCAGGACATGCTTCCCCACTTAGGAACCTACTGTGGTGCTGTCTACGCTGGAGCAAGTGGTTGCTGGATGTTGACTTCCCACCTCCGGCCCCTAGGGAGTGTCTCCAGCCAGCGTCTTAGGCCTTACGCCAAAGCTTCCCGTGGGAATCCTGGTAATAAATTTGGGCCCCACTAGCTGTGTGACACCGGATATGTACTGCCCCTCTCTGAGTCTCAGTTCCCGCATCTCTAAAATGACAGGCGTGGCATAGAGGAGCTCCCTTCTCAACTCTAAGGGTCCAGGCATCTGGCTTCACTCCTATGTGGGCCACAGAGAGACCCGCGGGTGTGGGTCTTTGCCACAGAGAAGTTCCTCTCCAGCCCTTTTCTGCTTCTGTCCCACCCTCGGAGTCAGGGAGTGTGAAGTTCTATCCCAAAGGCCCCACGGTTCCTGCTCTTTCCCCCGCTAGTCCCCAGCAGGCCTGACCAGCTGGAGTCTGTCAGCTTTCCTATTACCCAGAAAACTCCAATTTCTCCAAGATAATAAATAGCACATAAGAATCTGTTTAACCTCTGAGGGTCTTGGCCTGGGTACAGACCGTGGGCACAGCGTATGCCTGTCTGCCTGAATCTGCTGTCAGAGAGAAGGGGTTTCTCTCCCAGAGTCCTCATTAGTGTCCCCAATCCTGATCCCCCTGCAAGGCCTCAAGTTGCCTGTGAGCCCTGTTGCGGGTCTACTGATGGGGCTCAGAGAGGCCTCCTGCCCTGGCCCTGATCCATGGGACAGGATGCCGGGAGCCCAGCTTGACACATCTGCTCCCAACAATGCTGTGTCAGTTTTCTCCCAGAGAAGCCTACGCCTGGTCTTTGCAGCAGTCCTGGGAGGCCACCAGGCTGAGGTGACTTTCTGCTTCCCAGAGAAGAAAAGGGAGAGTCAGAGAGGGGCAGTGGCTTATCCAGAACCCCCGGTGTGTTAGTGCCAGTGAAGGTGAAGGAGAAAGAACCAGATCTTCCATCCTGAGAGGCAATAGGGGTGAGGGAACAGAGGGTGGACTCTGGTACCATCCTGCTTTCACAGCTTATTCACCGTGTGACCATAGGCAATTTACTAAACCCCCTGAGCCTCAGTTCCCACATCTGTTAAATGGAATTGAAATGTCTCCTTTTCACAGGATTAAGAGGATTAAATTAATTATCATTTGTGTAGTAGTTAGAATAGTGCCTGATGGGTAGAAAGCACTATACAAGCTATTAGTGCTAAGATATACCATCTCTTAGGGAAAGAATACACAAAATCCTCCTAGGTTTAAATTTAAGAAGGAAGTTCTGGAGGAGAGATCCACTTCTCAATTAAAAAATGCCAGCCCTGAAGGAGAGGAGGCAGGGTGGGTACCCGCGGCAGGGGGGTTGGGGAGAGTCCTGACTCCATGCCCCTTGTTTACCTTTTTATCACCTTCTCTGGGCTGGCTCCCTGTTCCCCCTCACAGCTGACACAGGCTGGAACTTTTATCACCACACACTACAGGTATGGTCTTGGAGGACGGAATGACCATTCCCTGAGGGCCACTGTTCCAAACACTTTGCATTTGTCAGATCCTCTGACATTGTGAAATATGTATTAGGTCTTCATCCAGTTTCCCGCCAAGCAACTCCTGGAATCCTTAGAATCTCCAAAGTGAGGTTTTTTTTGTTTTTTTTTTTGTTTTGTTTTTGTTTTTTGTTTTTACCCCCGAGACGGAGTTTCGCTCTTGTTGCCCAGGCTGGAGTGCAGTGGTGTGATCTCGGCTCACCGCAACCTCCACCTCCTGGTCCAAGCGATTCTCCTGCCTCAGCCTCCTGGTAGCTGAGATTACAGGCATGCACCACCACGCCCAGTTAATTTTTGTGTTTTTAGTAGAGACGGGGTTTCTCCATGTTGGTCAGGCTGGTCTCGAACTCCCGACCTCAGGTGATCCACCCACCTTGGCCTCCCAAAGTGCTGGGGTTACAGGTGTGAGCCACTGCACCTGGCCAAAAGTGAGGTCGTTTTGTATGCTAATGACTGATGGCTGCTTCAGGATGGGGACTGGTCACCAGAAAGGCCAAGGCAGGATTAGAAAGTTGGGATGTACAGCCCCACCCACTGAAGGGGGAAGGTATAAGGAAGAGGGGCTGAAGGTTGAGTTGATCACCCAAGGCCAGCAAGGTAACCAATGATTCCCATGTAACGAAGTCTCCATAAAAACTCTAAAGGACAGGGTTTGGAGAGCTTCTGGATAGCTGAACATACGGAGGTTCCGGGAAGGTTGTACACCTGGAGAGGGCATGGAAGTTCCACACCCCTTCCCACATGTTTTGCCCTCTGTATCTTTTCATCCATATCCTTTGTAATATCCTTGATAATAAACTGGTAAATGTGTTTCCCTGAATTCTGTGAACCTCTCTAGCAAATTAATCGAACCCAAGGGGGGAGTTGCAGGAAACCTGATTTATAGCCTGTCAGTTAGAAGCACAGGCAAGGCCAGGCGTGATGGCTCACACCTGTAATCCCAGCACTTTGGGAGGTTGAGGCAGGCGGATCACAAGGTCAGGAGATTGAGATCATTGTGGCCAACATGGTGAAATCCCGTCTTTACTAAAATACAAAAAAATTAGCTGGGCGTGGTGGTGCCCGCCTGTAGTCCCAGCTACTTGGGAGGCTGAGGCAGGGGAATCGCTTAAACCTGGCAGGCAGAGATTGCAGTGAGCCGAGGTCATGCCACTGCACTCCAGTCTGGGTGACAGAGCAAGACTCCGTCTCAAGAGGAAAAAAAAAAAAAAACACACACACACACACAGGCAAACAGCCTGGAGCTTGTGACTGGCATCTGAAGGCAGGAAGGGGAGCAGTCTAGGGCCCTAAGCCCTCCACCTGTGGGATCTGACGCTATCTCCAGATAGATAGTGTCAGAATTGAATTGGAGGGCACCCAGCTGATGTCTGCTGCAGAACTGATTGATTGCTTGTTGCTGGGGAGAAATCCCCACACATTGGTCACAGAAGTCTTCTGTGTTGATTGTTGTTGAGTGGGAGAAGAGAAGAAACTGTGTTTTTTTTTTTTTTTTTTTTTTTCCAGTCAGCTCCTAACAGCAAAAAGTCCAAATGGGGAATCAGACAGTTTCTAAAGTGCACCGCTCTGCCCTGAAGGAATGTAACCTTGGCACAGCTAACTTCGAGCACTCTCCTCTTCCACCTCACTGCCCTGGCCCCCTGGCCTCAGTACCAATGCATACCAGGTTCTAACACCTCAACGAACACAAGTATTACAC